ATAAGTGTAAACCCGAGAGTCATCAACGATGTTGGAATTTTTCCCTCCCTCCAAGCCTAGTTAGCCGCGGGAGATCGCGCGCCTGCTGTCGCTTGCTGCGACCGCGTATCTCCCAGGCCTCCCAGACTTGTGGAGGACGATCCATGGAGAGGAAGCGTGCTGCCAAATGTCTCCCGCATGTCTGAAAGATGCCTCAAACATGTCTTACACATGCAGACACTATGGTTTAAACACATGCTGAAACCATGGTTTAAACACATGCTAAGAACAACGCTAATGTCAAGGCATCCGCAGTCCTGGATGGCGCCACATCGCCGATGCATCACCGATGCGGCTCGATGTGGAGCCCGATTTGCATGCTATCGCCGACATCGACGATGCATCGCCGATGCATCGCCAATGCATCGCCGATACATCGGCGAGCTGGCGCGATCCTCCGACCCCACCTACTCGGACCCCATCTAGGAGGCCGCTAGTATCCGCGGGATCGCGCCCCAGAATCCAGACCGCGAGGGCGCGGACACGGATACGTTCGCCGCTTGTGGCCAACTCATGGGAGCTGCGCATGCTATTGGATTCCGCCTTCAGAGTGCATTCGCGTGCGCCAGCGTCAGGTGACCGATGAGAAATAGCCGATGTAGCGTCGATTCGCGTCGATTTGCCGGCCTGGAACACATCCCTAATCGTATGGTTCGCATCTCGATCTCGATGCCGATCTTAGGGACTCCCTCAGTTGCCGAGGGCGTATTCCAAAACATGTTTTCATCGCCTTTGGGGTTGTCAATCCTAGGGCTAGGGACAAAACCCAGGCTGATTACGCATGCCCTTGACATTCATCCTGTCAGTGCTTTCGCGAGTGCCAGCGTCAGATAATTGATGAAGTAGTGCCAGGGTCGCGTTGATTAGAGTCGATTTGGCGTCGAGTAGCGTCGATTGGCATCGGTTAGCGTCGGATCGCATGAGCTGGCAAGATAGCATGGATGGCTGGCACGAGTTGCAACAGAAGGCGAACGGAAGCCCCTCGCCGACGTCGCCGTTGCCGTCGCTGCCGTTGCCGGCGTTGACGATCCAGCTTCTGTTCGCCATCTTCTACTACTTCCTCATCCTGCGGAAGTACCCCAAGCTTCCCGAGGACGCCCAGATCTCGCGCGAGGTGGTCAGGTTCCAGGAGAGGTGCGTGTGTGAGGTGCTTTGCGAGTGCTGTGCGGTGCCGAACCGCTGGGAGAACATTTGCTTGTCGTGTTTCTGCCATGCCTCTCGTACGGCTCACACCATGCACACTGTGGGTGTCATGGACTTCTGGCCCGGCGTTGTGCTCATGACCATCTTGCCCTGTTGCACGCTCTGGCTGGTGCACTGTCTCACTGAACTCCCGGAGAAGCTCGGGGCAGCCCCGCGCGGTTGCTTCAAGGAGTGCCTGTGCTGCCTGTTCTGCTTCAGCTGCGTAATAGCGCAGGACGCGATAGCCCTGGACATGATCGTTGGGGCCAGGACCAAGATCTGCAGCGTGGACACCGTCTCGTGATCACAGATATTGGAAGGGCGCACGTCACTGGCCGAAGTAGCCTGGAGATGGCATGCGCGCAGGAGGAGCAGGAGACGAGAGAAGAAGGTATACTGCCCGTATCGTGTCCACGGCCGCTATGCGAGCCGATGGCCGCGTACAATGCAATTCTTGTCGCAGAGCTCATCCTGATCCTCCACGTCCTCGCTTCACAGCCTCAATGCGGCTACACTGGCGGACGTCTAGCCCAGCTGCACGGAAGAATGCGCATGACATCAGAACAGATGTTGCTTTTCGTTTTCACGCCATGGTTTTCTCAACTTGTTCGGATTTCTCTCTGCCCGTCGCAGTCTTCATCCACGCCAATCCCGCTCCTTCTCCTCTCCTCCCCTCTGCTTCCTCGTATCCCCTCTGCTCGGCCTGGACCACTCTCTGCGAGTGCGTCTCGGCTATGTCTTTCGTCCTGTGGTGCCAGCTGGTTAGGGGCCGGCCCAGGCTTGCAGTTCTGCCTTCTACGTGTAAGTCGGGCATGCCTTCTACAGGACGAATATTCAAAATCAGTCACAGAATACTCTGGGCACGATGTTTCGACTATGTTTGCACATGGTTTGATTATGCCCTGCCTAGGCTCTGCCTAGAAGGGTTCTTACTGTGTGGGCTGAAAGGGCCGGGCAGTGGAACCCGCCCCGGGCGGTTCCCCCAGGATCCGCCTCGCGGTTCCCCCAGTGACGTTCCCTTAGCTTAGCGTTGCTTATCTCATCTTAGCTTAGCTTATTTCATCTTAGCTTAGCTTAGTTTCATCTTAACTCAGGTGTACCTTAGCTTAGCTTACCTTCATCTCAGCTTCGCCGAGCTTTCGCATAGCAGAGCACAGCATAGCATAGCAGAGCGTAGCACAGCACAGCGCAGCACAGCATATCATAGCAAAGCCCAGCATAGCACAGCATAGCGCAGCATAGCATAGCATAGCGCAGCACAGCACAGCATAGCACCGCGCAGCATAGCATAGCATAGCATAGCATAGCATAGCATAGCATAGCATGGCATAGCATAGCATAGCATAACATAGCAACTAATGCTGCTTTTCTAGGGGCTCCAACTTCTAGGTAGGGTCGCACTGGGGTACTTTCTTTTTTCTCTCCCGAAATCTGCATGTAGGTTGGACATGCCCGACCCAATTCTACGCAGGGGAAGAAGCCGTGTGATGCAGTACGTGATGACCGCTGCGTTGCCATCGAGTCGTCGACGAAAAACGGAGTCGTCCATGCCATGCGCTCGCTGCCAGAGCTCAGGTTTGGCAGTGCAACCAGGCGGTCCCACATCGGGTGTGGCCACCGCTCGCACGTGATTTGACCAGCTCCCGCCCCATCCTCGCCGTCCTTGCGTGCGGCTCGGCGAGTCGATTCCCCCAGCAGGGGGGAAGGCAGACACAAGTCGTCTTACATAGTTCATCATCCTGACCATGTGTTTTCCTACAGTCAGCGGCTAGACGTTTCGCGTAACCCTATCAGCCCATCCAGAAACGATGCCCATGCGAGTTGCCCTGATCAGGGATGTGCAGGATCATGCAGTGGACTAAAGAGTTGGGAAAGCCGTCATACCCCAAGAGGGGGAGGACGGAGGAGGATTCGGAGGAGGAGAAGTAGGAGAAGGATGAGGAGAAGGATGAGGATGAAGCGGTTGAGGAGGAGGGCGGAGGAAGGAGGAGGGAGGCGGAGGAATAGGCGGATGAGGAGGAGGAGGCGGGGGAGGAGAAGGAGGAGGAGGAGGAGGCGGGGGATGGGGAGGGAGGACGGAGGATGGCGAGCAGAAACGCCAGAGGTCTCTTGGATGCCTCTTGGAGTCTCTTCGGATGTCTCTCGAGAGCTTCTTGGATTCCTCTTGTAGCGTCTCGGGGGCCTCTTGGCGGTCCCTGGGGACTCTTGGAGCGTCTTGGGGCATGCCGGGGGTCTCTTGGGAGCCTCGTGGGGCCTCCTGCGCGTCTCTTGGGGCCCTCTCGGGGCACTATTCGGAACCTTGGGGGCCATCTGGGGGTCACCGTGGAGCAGTTCGATCAAAGAAGGGCGGAGCTTTAATTAGTAGTGACCCCTTCAAAGGCCAAACTTAGTCCAACACCTAAGCACAAGCAATGATGTGTGCCTTCTATCTGGTGCCTTCTTGGACGGTCCAACTCCGCGAACCCCCCCTCCAGGTCCAGGAGGGTATATCCTTCCCCGAAGTGGAAGACGGTGATGGACGAGCACACGCTCTGGACCACCCGCGCCCATGGGGGCGTGTGGGATTCCCCGAGCAGGGCTTGCACTCGGGGTTCTCACGTCTTGTACCTAAATGGATGGCTGCATGGGGAGGAGGAGGGGGAGGACGAGGAGGAGGAGGAGGAGGAGGAGGAGGAGGAGGCGGAGGAGAGCCCAGTGGCAGAATGCAGGGGGGCCACACGACGCGACGACGAAAACGACGGACGACGGTGAATCGTCGACAGACCTACCCAGGTGATGCAGATCACTGTGGCGTAAAGCGGTGCGGTGCGAGCTCTGCAAGCCTCGCGGCCGCCCACGGGCGAGTCCTCGACAAACCGACGAGGAAGAGGAGGAGGAGGAGAAGAAGAAGAGCAAGGAGGAGGAGGAGGAGGAGGAGGAGGAGGAGGAGGAGGAGGAGAGGAGGAGCTGTCGAGGATCCGCCACGCTGCCGCCCGCGCCCGCCCGTGGGCGGCCCCTCCCGTGGGCTACCCGTGCGCGGAGTGGGTCCGTCGAAGATCCGCCACGCTGTCGCCCGTGGCTCGCCTCGTGGGCGCTCCGTGCGTTGGGTGTTCCTCCTCCTCCTCCGCCTCCACCTCCTCCTGCTCCTCCTCCTCCTCCTTTTTTCTTCTCGTCCTCCTCTTCCTCCTCGTCCTCCTCCTCCTCATCATCATCGTCATCTTTTTTCTTATTCTCCTCCTCCTCCTCCTCCTCGGTTTGTCGAGGACTCGCCCGTGGGCGGCCGCGAGGCTTGCAGAGCTCGCACCGCACAGCTTTACGCCACACTGATCTGCACCACATGAGTAGGTCTGTCGACGATTCACCGTGGGGGAGGATGAGGAGGAGTGAGGGCTTACTTGGAGCTTCCGGCCGTCTCGCACTGTTCTTGTGGGCCACGTTGGAGTCACTTGGGTGCGCCTCAGTTTAAGTCGGGCGTGTCCCTCTACGGGAGGAATAATCAGGAACAGTAAAAAATCGCCTGGGGACGACTTGTTAAAAGATATTCACCATTCTTGAATATCTGTTGACCTTTAATTTGTCCTCCAAAATCCGCCTGTAGGAGGACATGCCCGACCTAAGCCTGAGGTTGTCTTGGTGCCATCCAGGTACAAAGTTGGGCCATCTGTGCTACAATCAGCCCGTATAGTAAGGATGCGCGGTAAGGATGCAAGGGCCTTGGAAGGCCATGTTGAAGCTTTGCGAGCGGGGCGCGGCCATCGAAAGTAGCCAAGGATGGGCTGGAGGGGCAAGGGTACAAGGGTAGCCTCGGGAAGGTTGCCCATCCTTACTATGCGGTTTGACTTCGAATGTACATCTTTGACACGCTCAAACGCCGCTTGGAGGATTTTCGCTGGCGGAAGGTCGGCGCAGGTAGAACTCAGAGGAGGACCTGGTATCCATACCGCTACCCTTCAACCGCTTTATCTTTTTTGGCGTGCTGGGAGGCCCTCGTCGCCACCGCTGGATTCGCCTCAAAATTCTGGTATGAACGCACCCTGGGACAGGTCCGGGGAGTAACGGTATCGGTGCCTGTTATCACCGAGCGCGTTCCACTACTCGCAAAGTGCCTACTCGCAAACGTCAGAAAGCAAACAGGTCTTTCTCGATGGAATAAATCGTAACTCCCCCACGGCGGACCCAGGCTATTTGCGAGTAGTTCCTTCGCGAGTGGTGGAACGCGCTTGTCTACTTTTAGTCTCCTCGGAAGGCCAGCGGAAGCCGGCGGACGTAAAAGGCGCCCCTACGAGATAGCAACATGTTTGGGTTCAGGGTTCCAGGATCCGCCAGATGTCCATCTCCTCTCGTCCCTTCCGTCTGGCGGCCCTTCCGGTGCGTGCTGGCAGCCGCGAGGAGCCAGGAGCGGGGGTGGTGCGCCTCTCTCCTCGAGGTGGCGACATCCGAATTCTGCCCCCACCAGCCATCGATTCTCCTGACTCGATGGTCGGCGAGGGCAGGAAGGCTTGGAGTCCGCCACGTGATCGGCGAGTTTGGACCCCCGCTCAGGAGCGAAAGACGGACGTACACGTATAGGAGTCCACGTTGGTTTCGAGAGTGCGCATTGTTCGAATGCCCGTATGACGAGGCTGGTCTTGCGGACTGGGAGGCCGTGTTCACGTTCGCGGTGGGGCGCGCACGTGTTTTGCAGGCTCCCTGGACGCCAGCCGCCCATCGAGCTGCCCGAATCGTGGATCGGCGAGGGCAAGTTTCGGAGTTCCCTCCCCGGCTGAGGAGGAGAAGAAGGAGGAGGAAGAGGAGGGGCACGAAGAGGAGTGACGATTCTAAAGCTGGCTGCGCTTCCCCAGAACAAGGCGGAGGAGGCGGAGGAGGAGGAGGCGGAGGAGGAGGAGGAGAAATGCGAGGAGGAGGAGAAAAACGAGAAGGAGGAGAAAAACGAGAAGGAGGAGGAGGGGGAGGAGGAGGAGTTCGCCGCCGATCCTCGTCGCGCCCCCCCCGACCTGGGGGCCGGCGCGCCGTGGCGCCGGGCCGAGCGGCGGGGCCACGGTCAGGGACTACGGCTCTTGGAGTGGCGCCGCCGGTTTTGGCCCAGCACGCTTCGGCGCGGCACGCTGGCGACTTCCGTGTCCCCGGGCGTCACCATCCCCTGGCATCGCTCGGACGTGTGCATGTTTTCCTCGGCGAGAATCATCGAGGACCATTTTGGACCATTGGGCAAAAAAAAACACGCACGATACCGAAACATGCACGGGAACTGGACGTCCGAGCGACGGCAAATCCCGAGTCTCTCCCAGCCTCCCGCCTCGCGGAGCGGAGCGTCACGGCATCAGCTCGCAGGGCATCGCGTGTCGCCAGGGCCGCCGCCGCGGCACGCCCAGTTCTCAAGTTCCTGACCGTATCTCTGGAGCGAAGGTAGAGACGCACGCGCGCATGAACTCACATGGGGCTCGAAAAAGCGCATGCGACGTCCTCATTTTTTCAGGACGGCGTCCCCGGAAGTCCAGACCCTTTCCCCGAGGCCAGTTTTTCATCCTGAGTCGTTTTTTGACGGTCCCGAGGTCCAGCGAGGGCCCCCCGAGGCCGACATTGGCGGAACACCTCCCGTCTTGATATATGCATACATACATATGCATATATAAATCTACATACGTATATGTATGTGTGTATCGGTATATATATATATATGTATGTAGATGTATGTACCTACATGTATATGTACACATGTATATATATATGTATATATATATATACACATCTCTCTCTCTCTCTATATATATATATCTGACGCGATCATGTCTGGGAGCGCACTGCTCTAGCGTTCGTGACGAGTAGATGGCTTCGCGAACTGGGAAACGGGGGGGGGGGGGCGTTCTCATGCACGAAGCTGGGCGCGTAAATGCGTCCTCGTTGGGCTCCCCGGGATCGCGGGCCACCCGCAGCAGCGCGGAGGTGCTCGTGCGCGCCCTGCGCCTCGCGGTTCTGCCTCCGGGGGGCGTCGCGGGAGCGCGGGGGATGACCGCGTCTCGCGCAGTGCGAAGTTGTCAGGCGATGGCAAGCACGGATCGCAGGGGGCGTGGATTAGCGACGGGTCCCGTTTCCATGGGAAATCGCGAGTTTCCGCCGCCGAACGAGGCGGCACCGGCCGCATTTTGGGGAGGGCACCTCCCCCGATCCATGGATTTGGCGACCGCGCGCCAAATCCATGGATCGCTAGTCCATGTTTGCGCGCCCCCGAAGTTGGGTGACCTGGAAGATCGGGGGTGTGGGTCGCAGAAGCCAGGGGCCAATGCGAGCACAGGGCGACTGGGAGCGGATGTGGCATGGAGGGGCGGGGCGCGGTTCTGTCGGGCATGCTTCGAGAGAGAAACCAAAGCAAATCGAGGCATCGCAGAAGTGGCAAGAGGGGAACGAGATTGCAAAGGGTGTTGGCTTGCATGGCAGCGCCATTGAATATATCATCTGCCAATCACAGTGTACCTTGCGATTGCCGCGCGTTTCAGGCTCAGACGTATTTGGCCATGGCCCTCTTCTACGCGCAGTGCGGTGACGTGGAACGTGAACGCCTTGGCAGCTAGAAAAGGATTCCGTACGGATCGGCGTGCTGCCATCTTCTTCAGGGTGTTTCAAGCCTGAAGCGTTGGATAAACGGGCAGTCGAATTTGTCGATAGATGACCTGAAAAGGTCTGAAGAGCGACCGATCGCGGTCAGTCAAAACGCACTGCGGAGGTAGAGCGAGCGCCCGTACACGTGGTGCAAGCTGTCTTCTTGCTCACGGGTGTCCTCTCAGAGGCACCGCGGAGTCGCGAGGTTCCAGACTCGTGGCCAGGTCTCTGACTTCTGATGAGCGGACCCCGTCCGAATTGCCAAGGCGCATATTTGCATAATTGTTCATCCATCCCCTCATCGAAAATAAAAGACCCCCGAACCCGAATATCACAGTGAAGACGTGGCCTCACTGAGGTCCCCGTCTTTGCATTAGGGATAACACTGGGCGGCTTGGTTCGATACATCTGCAGAAACGAGCCCCATCTAACTTAGGTCCCCTCCCAACGGGTCAGGGGTCCTTTTTTGGTTAATCATCCCTGTATTCCCTGAGGTGCCCCAGGGTTTCTGTGGGCTCCGAAGGGGGATCAAAAGCATGTCGTACGGCGGTGAGCCCAGGGGGGAATGCAGAGGGGGCGGGCCTTCGAAGGCTCGGAAGGCATCTGGCCTTCCGAGAAGTTGTCTGGGCCTTCTCCGAAGACGGAGACGGACTCCTCAGAAGGCCAGAGGGTTTCTGAGAAGTCCCGCTGCCTTCTGAGAAGGCGTGCCCCTCTCCTTTCCCCCCCAACCCCCAGCCTCGCCGCTAACTCATCAGGGGATCAAGAGTGCTTCTTTCACCACGCACCAAACCACCCCAACCCGACCCGAAGGCCCCCATTCGCCTCCATTCCCAGTGTTCGGGGGGGGCGTCGGGGAGCATTGAAAAGACAGATGTGCAACGCGAACACCCCCAACCCGAAATGTGGGTCTTCGGGTTGGGCTGGGGTGGCTTCGTGGGTAGCGGCGGCGAGCGAGGACGGGAAGTGAGAAGGAGAAGGCCTTCTCAGAAGGTTAGGAAGTTCCCCCGTAGGCGCAGAAAACTTATCGGAAGTCGTGGTTCTGAGAAGCCCCGCCGCCTTCTGAGAAGGCCTGCTCCTTCTCACTTCCCCCTCTCGCTCGCCCCCGAGATATTGAGATCGCCTGGCTCGAACCGAGTTCGGTGTCCTGTCGATCCGATGTGGTCCGATTGTTGCGCAGCCCAGTTGTGCACCCTGTCGCGGCCGATCCGATTCGATCTCAACACCGTGCCGATGCTGGCCGATCCGATGCGCATTCCGATCCGATCTGGCTTCCCGATTCGATGCTGACTGATCCAAGGGAACACCCGGCCGCGGTCCATTGTGGCCGCGGGTCCGAGCCGCCGGTTGCCGCGGTCGTATCAGTCGACGCTCGGCGTGAGCTTACGATCCGGAGCTGTGGCTCGGCGAGTGGCGCCGCTGGTTTTGGCCCACCACGCTTCGGCGCGGCACGGTTGCCACTTCCCTGTCCCCGAGCGTCAACTTCCCCGGCCTCTCCCAGCCTCCCGCCCCGCGGAGCGGAGAGTCACGCCATCAGCTCGCAGGGCACGGCGGGTCGCCAGGGCCGCCGCCGCGTCATGCCGAGCACGAACTCCCAGGTTCCGGACCGTATGTCCGGAACGGCCGCGGTCCGCTGCGTTCGCGGGTCCGAGCCGACAGTCGCCGCAGCCCCAGCGCAAGATGGTCCGCGGCGGGCCCGGGGGAGGTGAAGTCGACAGGGGACGGGCCTTCTCGGAAGGCAGGAGGCCGGAGGGCTTCTGAGAAGTCCCACCGCTTTCTGGCCTGCCCCTTCTCTCTGGTTGACCCAAACGTGGGTCCAGCTACAAGTGGGTGGTGCAATTGATCTGGAGCAATACACAGCCGTGACAACAGTTTCTTCAATATGCTATGGTGAAGATCTCTTCCATCCCTCTCAAGATTCCTAACATGACATGATGCTGGGATCATTCGGCGGAGTAGTTTCCGATCCCAGAGACGTTCATAACTCTGTTACCCCAAAACGGGATCAGAAACTACTCCGCACCAAACCATGTAAATTATCCAGCGGGATGCGATTGCGCGCGGAGTAGTTTTAGTAAAACTTTTCCGAGCTCTTCCGCACGAGCACGTCATTTCAAAAGGCAAATTGAAAGAAACTTTCGTCACGGCGATGTAGGTTCGTGGGTTGCAATAGATCTGGGGCGTGCAACACATTCTGGGGCGCAATTGCATTGCTGGATTTTCGCGTACAATGCATCAGTTGCAATGCAATGCAATAAAATTTTACGGCGCAGTACATGTGCAAAACAACTCCCCAAAATCTGTTACGCCGCCCCCATTGCAGCTGGACCCCCTTTTGGGCCAAGCAAATTCTCACCTCCCCCCCCTCGCTCGCCGCCGATGCACGGGCTGCGGAGGGCGGCATCACGCGTGCAGCGCAGCCCCAGCGCAGGAGGGGGCACGCATCTCTGCAGGTGCGGCGCGCCCCGAGCACGGTACACTGGAAGCCCATGCCCAGACGAAGATGACGACGACGACGACGACGACGACGACGACGACGACGACGACGACGACGACGAGGACCTCTCCGCTGGGCGGCGAAGGCCCCAGCGGCGCCAGGCCTCGTAACCGCGTGCGCCGACGTTGCTCGTGGCTCGGTCGGCTCGGGTGCCCGGGGTTTCTTGGGTTTCGATAGTTTTGCGGTGAAAGGCGTGACGTTCCCGCACCAGAAACCAGTGGACGTCCTGGGGTCGCAGGGTTGGGTTTCTTGAGGAAGGTCTCTTGTGGTCGAGCTCCTACTGTAGGGTGTCGTGTCGTGTCGACGCGGCGACGACCCCGGCGCGGGCTCTCAAGGTTGAGCGCCGTCAGCGGTCCAGATTCGGCGAACACGGAGCGATCGGCCGACCGAAAAGTAGCCGATCATTCACGGTTGAACGCTCCCGCGCGGTGCCGGAAGCCGACGCCTAAAGTCGTCGCGCATGATCAACCCGAACGAACTAGCTTGCCGAAGGACCCAACCATATGCAGTTGTGAGTACCGCAGTTGTGGGTATCGCCTTTGGTGGAGCTCCCTATGGGCCACGAAGCGCTGTGCTGGGTGGGGGAGACCCATGTGGACACCGCCACTGCGACCTTAGGTGGAGCTTCATATGGGGCCACGGAACGCTGTGCTGGATGGGGGAGTCGCATGTGGACACCGCCACTGGGACCTCAGGTGGAACACCCTGTGGGGCCACGAAGCGCTGTGCTGGGTGGGGGAGACGCATGTGGACAAGGCCACTGGGGCCTCATGTGGAGCTCCCTATGGAGCCACGAAGCGCTGTGCTGGGTGGGGATACTCCTTGTGGGCACCGCCACTGGTGCTTTAGGTGGAGCTCCCCATGGAGCCACGAAGCGCTGTGCTGAGTTGGGGAGACGCATGTGGACACCGTCACTGGGGCCGTCGGTGGAGCTTCTGATGTGGCCACGAACCGCTGAGCTGGGTGGGGGAGACGCATGTGGACACCGCCACTGAGGCTCATGTGAACACCGCCACTGGGACCTTAGGTGGAGCTCCCCATGGAGCCACAAAGCGTTGTACTGTGTGGGCAGACGTATGTGGACACCGCCATTGCGACCTTAGGTGGAGCTCCATATGGGGCCACGGAACGCTGTGCTGGATGGGGGAGACGCATGTGGACACCGCCACTGGGACCTAAGGTGGAGCACCCTATTGGGCCAAGAACCGCTGTGCTGGGTGGGGGAGACGCATGTGGACACCGCCATTGCGACCTTAGGTGGAGCTCCCTATGAGGCCACGAAACGCTGTGCTTGGTGGGGGAGACGCATGTGAACAACGCCACTGGGACCTTAGGTGGAGCTCCCTGTGAGGCCACGAAACGCCCTACTGGATGGGGAGACGCATGTGGACACCGCTTCTGGGACCTTAGTCGGAGCTCCTGATGTGGCCACGAATTGCTGAGGACATGAGCAGGGCAGAGGCAGGGATGGGAGGAGGGAGGAGGGGGAGGAGGCAGGAAGGAGAGAGGGAAGGACGGAGGGAGGGAAGGAACGTGGGGACCGTCTCGTCAAAACGAGGACCAAACACCACAGGATGGTTGGGGAAGAAAATGCACTGACTATCCCCAAACCCTGGGGCGTGGGCGAGGGTCCTGGCCGTGGGCTTGGCATACGGTCAGTTCGCATAGGAAGGATGGGCGACCTTCCCAAGGGAACCCTTGCATCCTTTGATGGGTCGATTTTCCACTACCGCTACCATTGCTAGGACAGGGAGGAAGAGGACAAGGAGGAGTCAAAGGAGGAGAAGGAGGAGGAGAAGGACGACCTCCCCATCCTCCCTCCTCCCCCGTCCCATACCTATGGTAGAGGTGGTGGAAATTTGCCCATCATCCTTGCCTCTTCGGTCCATCCCTGGCCACTTTCGTTGGCCGCGCCCCGCTCGGAGAGTTTCGAAGTGGCCCCCCGAGGCCCTTGCATCCTTCCCTCGCGCATCCTCCTGCTACGGGTCGACTGTACACCCTACAGCCCTGGGGGGTGGGCGAGGCTATTAGCCGTGGGCTTGGTGCACAATATTCAGGAGGGGAGAACACACAGACGTAATGAATCGTCGATCCCGAGGAAATTAGCCTGACGAAGGACCCAACCATATGCAGTTGTTCGCACGGCAATTGTGAATATCTTCTTCGGTAGCGCTCCCTATGGGGCCACGAGACGTGTGAGGGGTGTGCCGAAATGGGTTTGGGGACGCATGTGGACGGTGGCGCGTTGGCCTTCGGTGGAGCACCCGATGGGGCCACGAAACATGTGAGAGCTGTGCGGACATAGGCGTGGGGAACGCAGGTGGACGGCGGCCCTGGGGCCTTCGCTGGAAGTTCCTATGGGGCCAAAAAAGGTGTGAGGGGTGTGCCGACATGGGTTTGGGCGACGCATGTGGTCGGTGGCACTGGGGCCTTCGGTGGAGCTTCCTATAGGGCCACGAAACGTGTGAGGGGTGTGCCGAAATGGGTGTGGGGGACGCATGTGGACGGTGGCACTGGGGCCTTCGGTGGGGCTCCCTATTGGGCCACGAAGCGCGTGAGGGGCGTGCCGAATGGGTGAGGGGGACGCATGTGGACGGTGGCACTGGGGCCTTCGGTGGAGCTCCCTATAGGGCCACGAAACGCGTGAGGGTCGTGCCGAATGGGTGAGGGGGACGCATGTGGACGGTGGCACTGGGGCCTCCGGTGGAGCTCCCTAGGGCCACGAAACGTGTGAGGGGTGTGCCGAATGGGTGAGGGGACGCATGTGGACGGTGGCACTGGGGCCTTCGGTGGAGCTCCCTATAGGGCCACGAAACGCGTGAGGGTCGTGCCGAATGCGTGAGGGGGGCGCATGTGGACGGTGGCACTGGGGCCTTCGGTGGAGCTGTGGAGGGCCACGAAACGCGTGTGGCGTGCCGTGGGGGTGCCGCGCATGTGGACGGTGGCACTGGGGCCTTCGCTGGGCCACGAAGCGCGTGAGGGGCGTGCCGAATGGGTGAGGGGGACGCATGTGGACGGTGGCACTGGGGCCTTCGGTGGAGCCCCCTATAGGGCCACGAAACGCGTGAGGGTCGTGCCGCATGGGTGTGGGGGACGCATGTGGACGGTGGCACTGGGGCCTTCGGTGGAGCTCCCTATAGGGCCACGAAACGCGTGAGGGTCGTGCCGAATGAGGGTCGTGCCGAATGGGTGGGGGGACGCATGTGGACGGTGGCACTGGGGCCTTCGGTGGAGCTCCCTATAGGGCCACGAAACGCGTGAGGGTCGTGCCGAATGGGTGAGGGGGACGCATGTGGACGGTGGCACTGGGGCCTCCGGTGGAGCCTCCCATTGGGCCACGAAACGTGTGAGGGGTGTGCCGAAATGGGTGTGGGGGACGCATGTGGTCGGTGGCACTGGGGCCTTCGGTGGAGCTCCCTATGGGGCCACGAAACGCTGTACTGGGGGGGGCGAAACGCAGGGAGGAGGAAGGAGGGGGAGGAGGAGAGGAGGAGAGGAGGAGGAACGCGGGGACCGTCTCTTCAAAACGAGGACCCAACAACACAGGTTGGTTGGGAAATATGGGGAAGTATGGGAAGTGGGGGGGAAGACAAAAACCCAGAAAATATTTGAAAATAGTTCGAATCCTGTCATTTGTGTGTATTTCTTTGTGTGTCCCAGGGCCCCTTCAAAGATTCTCTCCCTGGGGCGGTGGCCTGGGGCGGTGGACTCCGACTGGGGGCGGGGAGGGTGTGACATACCGCCGTCTGCGCAACAGAAGCGCCCGCCAGCGAAAGCGCCGCGAAGACCCGCCCCGGACCCCGCACCTCAGCGTTGGCCGACGGCCGCGCCGGAGCCGGAGGGGAGCGCGAAGTTTAGCGGAAGAAGCGCCCACCTCTTGCGGGGGGCTGCTGCTTGCCCGGCGACCTTGAAATGTGGGGCCACATGGGGGAGCGCGCGTTGACGCATCGCTATCTCGACTCGCGACGTGCGTTTATTTCGCAACCCACGGTGCAAGCCATCCTTGAGGACACGAACACAGACCTGCGACGTCCTGAATTTTTTCAGGACGAAGTCCCGACCCTTTCCCCGGGGCCGATTTTTCGTCCCGAGCTGTTTTTTTACGGCCCCGAGGCCCGGCGAGGGCCCCCCAGGGCCGAAATTTGCCCAAATCCTCCCCTTCATGTCTGGGAACCCGCCGCGCCGATGGCGAACGGATCCGGACCCGTCCAGTGCACCCCGCCGCGGGTCGCGGGGAGGTCGGCCCGCGCTCGGCCCGGGTGGCGAGAGGGCGGCGCGGGCCAGCGGCCGCGGCGGAGCCCGCGGGGGCGGCGACGGTCGGCGCCGGCCGAGGCGTCGAGGACTTCCTGTACGAGTCCCGCCTCGCAGGCCGAGCTCGTCGGAGTCGTCGTCGCCCTCGTCGTCGTCCTCGTCTTCGTCGCCCGCGTCCGCGCCGTCGTTTCGCCGTGGTCGCAGTCGTCGTCTTCATCGTCTCCCACCTCTTCGTAGCCCTCGCCGTCGGCGGAGGGAGTGAGGGGACTCAAGTTCGAGCGACGCGGAAAGGCACCAACATGGAATAGACACCGGCGGAGAGCCGCTGGCAATGCCCGGAGCCCGCTTACAGCGGTAACCAGAGACAATACGAGTAGCAGGCATGCTCCCCCAAAAGCTAATCCAGCACGGCATTACAAACGTGTTCATTTCAAGAGATAACGATTCTACGACACAGAGTGCAACACATGTGTTGCCCGCGTGCCGTGTCGTGACCGCGTGCCGTTCTGCGCCTGGGTTCCAGACTGCGAAGAAATATGTTGCGCCGCGTCCGCGCGCCGTGCCGTGCAGCGCTCAGGTTCTGCAGTGCGAAAAACCGTGCCGTGTCGTGCCCGCGTGCCGTGTCGCGCCTGTGCTCCAGAGTGCGGAGGACGTGCCCGCGCGGCGTGGCGTGCCGTGCCCAGGCGCTGATGAGTGCGGAAAACGTACTGTGCCGTGTCCGCGTGCCGTGCCGCGCCGTGCCTCTAGGTTCCAGGCAGGGAACAATGGTGTCGCACAGGGGAGACCCATGCCAAGCAACACCCCGCTTGCCTCCAGGGTGCCCTGGGTTTCTTGGATTTCGAGGGTTCTGCCATGCAGAGCGCGACGCTCCCACACAATGAATAAATGGACGTCCTGGGGTCTCAAGGCTGGGTTTCTTGTGGAGCGTTTCTCGTGGGTTGACCACCGTGCCTTGCCACGCCGAGGTTCTGGAAGGGGCAGAAAAGCTGTGCCGCGCCCGCGTGCCGAGCCGTGACGCGCACGGGTTCTGCAAACATCGAACGCCGTGCCGTGCCGTGCCGTGCCGTGCCCTAGTGCCTTGCCCTGCCTGGGCTCAAGTCGGGCCTGTCCCTCTCCAGGAGGAATAGGCAAAGCTTGGCAACACATGGTCTGGGGACGATTTTTCTACCCTTGATCATTTTTGAGTACCCTTTCTGGCAATGGTTGATGGTTCGCCCAAAATCCGCCAGTCGGAGGACACGCCCGACCAAAGCCTAGGTTCTAGAGTGTGATAAAATGTGCCGTGCTGGCGTTTCTTCAGCAGTGACGCGCTGGTGCGCTTCCCACGGCGGCGGGTCATGGACGCAGGCTTTGCCCCCCCCCCCCCCTCTCCCCCCCCCCCTGCCCCAGAGGCCACCAGTGGGGCGAGCGCGAGTACGCCTGCCTGCTGCGGGCGTGCGGCAGCGCCTGGCCGCGCGAGCGCGGGCGCGCCGAGAGGGCGTTCAGGAGGATGGTGGCCGAGGCGGGGGCGCAACGGACGACGGTTCCTTCTCGTCCTCCTCTGCCCCCTCCCTCTCCCTGCCGGGTGCACGGGTCGTTATCGTCGTCGTCGTCGCCTTCGCCGTCTTCGTCGGCGCAGGGTCTCCGTCGCCTTCGTCGGCGCCGACGTGGTCGTGCTGCGTGTTGCCCTGATCGGGGGCTGCCTGCCTTGTGCAGTGACCAACTCCCGCCCGCCTCCCTCGTTCTTGTGCGGCTCAGGGCCCATGCTTCCCTCTGGTCGGGGAGTGGCGCATCCTTTCCTTTCGGGACGCCCTCTTTCTGTCGGCGTCGGGCACCCTCGTCCTGCTCATTTTTCTCCTGGCCTTCGGGGGAGTGGGGGGGGGCCGGGGGTGGGGGGGCATCGTTGCCGCCTCGGCTGGAAACGTTTCGAATTCTTTGTCAGAATTCGCTCCATTGGTGGTCTTGGGGGTCGGTTTTGACTGGGAGCCCAGGGGACGCCGACAGCTGTGCGCATGCGTCTTTTAAGGCAGCTGCTCATGAACAGCCTGAGAATCCAGGAAAACATTAACTTGCACGAAATATGTAGAACAATTAGGTGCTGTGAAATAGGTGAAAAAGATGCCTCCGCTGAATAATGAGGCAGAAGCCGTTCGCTGGATTAGCGAAGTGGCACGCGACACAAGCGAAACCCAACTGCGCACGCCCGCCCAGAAGTGATCCACCCTGGACAACTCGAACGCCTCTCTTGCGGTCGAAGAGGCCCCCCCGCCGAATCTGCAGATCTCCGACACCGCATCTGCGACGGCAGCGGCGGCGGCGACACAGCGGAAGGCAGAGAAGGGGACAGCAGCAGCAGCGCAGCCACTGACAGGGACGACGGTGCCAGGAAAACGACGACGGGGCCGATGAAACCCGAGCATGAGGAGAAGGAGGGGTGGCAGGTGCGCGACATCGCCTGGGGAATAGCATTGGGCGAAAAGGGGGTACAGAGGACGGACAGGGGGGGAACTGGAACTTGAACGAGGGCGGCGGCTAGAACATCCTCGATGGGGCTGCTGAGGACGGGCCGTTGGAACGAGGAGGGAAGGGTGATGAGGTAGAGAAAAGTCAGTGGAGGCGGGCCCAGGCCGCGCGAAGCCACAGGGCGACTCGCCGCTGCAAAGGACCACGGGCCACCCAACATTTTTGCGATCCAAACTTTCATATGGCCGCTGTACCATCATCGCGCGAATGCCAATGGCAAAACGTCTCGCGTGCCCCCAAGCAGAGCATGCCGCCGCGGCCCGCGCGGCTGCCGCCGCTGCGAATTGCGAGTAAGCCAGCAAGAACGCCCCCCAGACTGCCGCCCACGACGTGGACCTCCGGGCTCCTCGCCCCTTGCCCCTGCCCCCCTCCCTCCCAAACCCTCCCTCCCCCTCCGATCGCGCCACCCCCCCTTCCCCCTCGCGCGCCATTTATCCTGCCCACCGCCCTCTCCAATTGACCCCTTTGTTCCCCCTGGCCGTCTGTGCCGCGACACCCCACGGCGACCCCCAATCCACGGCGCCGCTCGCATCCAGCCCAGCCCGCGCCGATTGCACCAGCGCCTCGGGCAACAAGCTCGAGGGCCCCCGAAGTTGTTGCAAGATGGCCGCCGCGACCCAGGGTGGCGAAAGATGCCCCCCGGGCTCCGCACCAGACGCCGGCACGATCGCCACGGGGTCTCGATCGGCACGGCTCCCGGGCGGCCGCGATGTGTTAAGGTGTGTTCGAGGTGCCCCAATCGAAATACACGAACAATGCAAGAACAAACTACGCCCCGCATTCGCACCCCCCGCGGGAATGTTGTACGCCTATTTGAAATGAGTAAAAATTAGGCGACCGAAACAGGCGAGACGCCCACCGACTCCTCGCGCGCATTTTTCGTCTATGTTTCGTCTATGTCTCGCCTTTTTTTCCGACCAGAAAAGGCAAGAAATAAGCGAAAAATTGGTGGCCGTGGAGGCGCCTATTTTTTCAAACAAAAAATGCTTGATACATGGACGAAATATAGGCCCGCCCCGATCAGTGAACATGCAAGAAAAGTAGGCGCGAAATGATTTTCCCTGGGGCAGCCGGCGGGAGCCGCGTCGGAATGCGGCTGCCCCAGGGGGCCTTGCCCTCCCCCTGCCCCATGCACCCTTCTGGTTGAGAGCCCGGCCGCCCCCTGACGCCAGGCGGGCGGGGGACGGGCGGGGGCGCAGCGCCAGGCGAGCGGCACAGCCGCGCGCGGCTCAGCAGATAATGTCTGCGCCGCGCCCCCCCCCGCAGCAATGTACCCAAGAAAGTTTCGCCGACATGGGGCGGTGCCTCAAGGGCAGTGACCCTACGAACAAAACTGCCGTGGCCCCGAAGGGGGCTCCAGCCGTCGCCCCTGATGGGGGGTCCACCGAAGCCTCCAACGGCAGCGGCCGCGCGCGGTGCTCGCAGGCCCCTCAAGCATTTGCCCCACCGAAATTCGCCGTGGCAGAGGCTGCGCGCCCTAATTGCGCACCCCTCGCACGCTTCGTGGCCCCACAGGCGACTCCGTCGAGGCCGCGGTAGCAGCGGCCGCGCGCGGCACTTGTACCCCCCAGGCTCCGTCAAAGGCCCCAGCGCCATAAGCCGCAGGCGGCGCTTGCGCACCCCTCGCGCGTTCGATGGCCCGAATGAGGAAACCCGCCACTGGTCCCAGCGTCAGCGGCCGCGCGCGTACTTGGGCACCGCTCGCGCGCGTCGTGGCCTTATAGGGACCTCCACCGAAGGCCCCAGAGGCGGCGGCCGCACGGGTACCTGAAGAGCCCTCACGCACTTCGCGGCTCGAACCGAAGGCCCTAGCGGCAGCAGCTGGGCGCGGCATATTTGCGCAACTGTCACGCGCGTCGTGGCCCCGCAGGAAGCCCCGCTGAAAGCCCCGACCCCGCTGGCACCGCTCGCGCGCGGCCCTGGTTCAGTTCGGCACGCCCTTGTCACGCGCTCCCTGGCCCCCAAAGAAATTCCACCAGAAACTGTGATCAGAACTGCAGATGGGCGGACCCTTCGCCAATGATTTGTTGGACGCGTACATGCGACGCCAGGCCCCGCACCGTGCCAATTCATGGCGCGCCCCCGCGGCGAGAGACCCCAAAACCGAACCATGGAAGCCGATCCTGCGCGCCGCTGCAGGACGCATGATCGCCCTGGGCTGCCATGACAATCGGCTTTCCCAGCAAGATAATCGCTGCACGCCGCAAACACCGCTTGCGCTTGGAGCGCTTACACATCATACCACACCATCATTTAACTTACATGTGTCGAGTATATGTTGTTGCTCACCTATTTTCGTGACCTTTTTATAAAGTATCCAACATACCAGCACCTCTCCACAGTACCTTCAGTATAACATGAGTCCCCAGAGTTTCTGGCGTCGCAGGAAGAAGCGCCCACCAGCGTTTCTCTCGCAATCCCCGCATCAATGTGGCCCCAGGCCCCGCACGAAGCAACCCGCAGCGCAAGACCAGTCGCGGGGAACGTGTCTAGAGCTTCAGGGCTCACGCCAAACGCCATTACGGCGGAGGTGCGGATACCCCAGGGCTGTTTTCTGAGCTTTTTCAGCATCTGAGCTTGCTGGGCCGAGCCCAGTCGTAGGCCGAGCGGGTCAACTTCCAAACGTTCTTCGTAAGCGGCGAGGCGGCGAAATCCGCACCAGCGTAACAGCTAGGTAGGGGCACTAACTAGCGAATTGGCAGTCGTGCACGGAGGGAGGGGAGAGACCGACGAGAGGAAGGAGGGACGCTCAGACGTCGAAGACTTCGACGACAACTTCCAAACACACTACGGGGATTGAGGCCGTCCAGCTGCGCGTTCGGCCGAATGGGCTAACACGCTAGAAGAGGGCGCGGCTGGCTGCACCGAGAGGACGTGGGCGGCCACCAGGGGCACCATAGAAGGGGCGGGGGTGAGGAGGAGGAGGAGGAGGAGGAGGAGGAGGAGGAGAGGAGGAGGAGGAGGAGGAGGAGGAGAGGAGGAGGAGAGGAGGAGGAGAGGGAGAGGAGGAGGAGGAGGAGGCAGGCAGAGGAGGGAGGAGGCAGAGAGAGGAGGAGGCGGAGGAGGAGGAGGAGGAGGAGGAGCAAGAGGAGGAGGAGGAGGAGGAGGAGGAGCAAGAGGAGGAGGAGGAGGAGGAGGAGGAGCAAGAGGACGAGGAGGCCCAGTGGAAACCCAAGAGACATTAACCCTCCCTCCGAGCTCCCTCCCTCCGAGCTCCCTCTTCACAGGCCCCTGCAACGGTTCATTTCCATGTAGGGAACGGCCTTGTTGGAAGATAACCGTCCGAAGACCCTGAAGCGTGCCAAAACATTGCTCGCGGGATTCAACGACACGTATCAACCTGACTGCTGCGCCTTGACGATCCAGAATCGTGCAAGAACGCCGTTTTTGGGGACTCCAACACAGCGAATCAACACAACGGTTGCGCCCGCATAATCCTGAACCCTTCCAAAATACAACTTCTGTTGATCATGGGAATACGTGAAACTCTGGCAGTTTTTAAGAACGAATGTGCGCGGCGCTAAGGTGAGAGCCACATGTTTAAAAGGAACCGCCCCCAATCAGTGAAACTCTTACAATTGTTTACACGAATGTGCGCGGCGCTAAGGCGAGAACCACATTTTGAACACGACACGCCCTCAACCCGTAAAGCTCTTGCATGTGTTCAAACGATTGTGCGCGGTGCGAAGGCGAGAGCCACATGTTGAAACCCGCCCGCCCTCTATAGGTGAAACTGTTGTCACAGTTTAAGCTTCAGGGTCATACATGGTGAGGAAGTCTCAGGCGAAACGCCTGGCCCGTCCTAAAAACTACCCTCGGGGTGCGACAGGGAGGAGTTACCTATAAGGAGAAAGAATGGAGGAGGAGGAGGAGGAGGAGGAGGAGGAAGAGGAGGAGGAGGAGGCGGGGGAGGAGGAGGAGGCGGAGGAGGAGGAGGAGGAGGAGGAGGAGGAGGAGGAGGAGGAGGGGGGGGCCGCAGTCATTGGGAGGCAGGGGAGGCCGAGGAAGGAGGCGCGAGGGCTCAAGACGGGGAACGCAGGAGGTGGGATGGGAGCGGAGCGCCCTGAGCGTCCCTCCTGCACCACCTTTCCCTCCTGCCGTCGAGACCTGTGAGAAGGCGGTCAGCCTTCTCAAACTCGCCCTCCTGCCTCGTCCCCCTTCCTCCCTGCCCTCCTTCTCCCCCGCCCTCCCCCCCCCTCCTCGCCCCCTTTCCCCACTTCCCCCCCACAACCCCAGTTCCCCCGGCCATCCTACTTCTTCTCCGGTCCCCCTCCTATATATCCCCCCGGCCTCTTCCTGCCAGCCCTCCCCATCCCCACAATGATCACCCTAATCCTTCTGTCCCGTCTCCCCCTCCGCCTCCTCCCACTCCCCCTTCTACCGTCCCCGTCCCCCTCCTCCTCGCCCCCCCTCCCCTCATGCAGGCAGGGTCGGAGGATGCCCCAGAACACCGCGGAGCCCGCTAGTAGCGCCTCCTGAAGCTGCTCAGAGCCACTGCTCTCCCCTCCTCCTGTTTTTCTTTTTCCTCCTCCTCCTCCTCCTCATCCTCCTCCTGCTCCTTTCTCTCCCTCCATCTCCTCCTCATCCCTCCTCCTCCTCCTCCTCCTCCTCATCCTCCTCCTCCTCCTCCTCCTCCTCCTCCTCCTCCTCCTCCTCCTCCCTCCTCCTCCATCCATCTCCTCTCCTCCTCCCTCCTCCTCCTCCTCCTCCTCCTCCTCCTCCTCCTCCTCCCCCCTCCATCTCCGCCTCCTCCTTCTCCTCCTCCTCCTCCTCCTCCTCCTCCTCCTCCTCCTCCTCCTTCACTCGGGAGCCTGCGGTCTTTCGTTCTTTTCGGTCTTCTCGGGGGTTCCTCGCCAGACCGTGGGACCGTCGGAAGCCGACTCGGCGCGAGGCGCAAGGCGAGGCGACTTTCTCTCAAGGCTCCCTCACCACCGCCGCGCTCTCGGGTGCCCCGCCGCTGAGGGTACACGCCGCCCCCGCCCCGAGGGCCATCGGAGGGCCCAAGCTCTCCGCCGCTCTTTCCTCTGATCTGAGGGTCCACGCCCTCCTGAGGATCCAGTGCAGTCAAAACTCAGAATAAGGACGCATGGCTGTCCTTAGGGTATCCTTGCGCCCTAGCCTCTGCGGCTCGTCCTTCGCAGTTTTCATTGCCCAGCTCTTCAGGCTGCTGGCAGTCCGCCGCCCAAAAAGTGTCAACTTCGGCGTCCAAGGCCCTTGCGTCCTTACCGCCCGTCCTTCCTATAGATTTCGACTGTGGTGGCCCGCGTTCTCCGCCGCTCTCCCTCCTGATAGGAGGGTGTTTTTCTGCCCCGAGGGTGGGAATCCGCTGAGGGCCTCGCGCTCTCCGTCGCTCTCCCTTCCGATCCGAGGGCCCACGCGCTCTCCTCCTCGAGGGTCTGCCCGGGGCGTTTTCCAATGATTTGAGGATCCACGCCCATTCCGCTCTCGTTCACGCCCTCCCCGCCTTGACACGGTCCACAAAGGGTCTGCGATCTTCGCCTCTCTCTCTTCGGTGCGAGGTTTGTGACGACGTCACCTTGCACCAGCATCGATCCTGGTCAGGTTGAGCCCACCATTTGTGTCTACGCCTTCCTGGCCAAGGATCGCGGGCCCAGGATGGGTTTTGGCCAGGATCGGCGTTGGTGCATAGTTGCCGTCTTCATGCTCGCGCCCGCCTGTCGCCCATCTTGGGTCGCCCATGCTTGCGCACGGTCGCCCATCCTTGGGTCACCGTCTGCGACGATGGCAGCTCGCTCGTTCGCTCGTTCGCTGTTGAGCCTCAGAGCGACCTCCGCGCCTCTCACCGCCGCGCGCTCCGCCACGTGCAGGGCGTCGCCGCACGCACCGGGACCGTGAGGTGCCCGCCGCTCGCGCGCGCGCCGAGGGGGAGGGGCGGGGGAGGGCCTCAAGGAGGGGGAGGGGGGAGGAGGAGGAGGAGGAGGAGGGGGGAAGAGGAGGAGGAGGAGGAGGAGGAGGAGGAGGAGGAGGAGGAGGAGGAGGTCGCTGACACTACAGTGGGAGCCCATGCCAAGAAACACCCTGCTTGCCTAGAGGGTGCCCTGGGTGTCTTGGGTTTCGGTGGTTCTGCTATGGAAAGCGCGACGTTCCCGCACCAGAAAAAATCATGGACGTCGTGGGGTCTCAGGGTTGGGTTTCTTGTGGAAGGTTTCTTGCGGTCGGGCCTCCACTGGGCGGCGGGTTCGCGCCGCCGCCGCCGCCTATGACGCGGCGGCGACGCCCTCCTCCTCTGTGCGCGCCTCCTCGTGCTTGATGGCCTTCGGAGGCGGTCCTCGTCCTCTTGGCCGGGCGCGGCTCCAGAATGCTCGGACGTGGAGGAAGAGGAGGAAGAGGAGGAGGACGACGACGACCAGTGTAAATCCACGAGCCATCAACGATATTGGAATAAACCCTCCCTCCAAGCTCCCTCTTCACAGGCCCCTGCAAGGGTTCATTTCCACTGAGGGAACTACCTGGTTGGAAGACAACCGTTTGAAGTCCTTGAGGCATGCCAAAACATTATTCTCAGGACTCCAACGCCACGGATCAACCTGACTGCTGCGTCTTGACGATCCTGAATCGTGCCAGAACGCCATGTCTGGGACTTCAACACCGCGAATCAACGTAACTGTTGCACCCTCATAATATTGAGTCTTTCCAAAAAGCCATTACTGGTATTGCAAAAAAGGGAATGTACGTGGCGCTAGGGCGAGAGCCAAACTTTGAAAACCAACCGCCCTCAATCTGCGAAACTCTTCCGAAAATTAAGAGTGGAATGTGCACGGCTCTAAGGCGATATCCACTTTTTGACAATGAACCGCTCTCAATCCATGAATTACGTGCAAGTGATTGCAACGAATGTGCGCGGCGCTAAGGCGAGAGCCACATTTTGAAAACCACCCGCCCTCAATCCGTGAAACTATTGAATTGTAAATGGAAAACGAATGCGCGCGGCGCTAAGGCGAGAGCTACATTTTGAAAACGATCCGCCCTCCATCTGTGACGCTGTTGCCAATGTTTAAGCTTCAGGGTCATAAAGGGCGAGGAATTCTCGGGCGAAACGTCGGGCCCGCCCTTTCGACCGGCCTCGGGCTGCGACGGGGAGAAGTTAAGCATCTATAAAGAACAGGAGGAGTGGAGGAGAAGGTGCTCACGATGGTGCCCAGGAGGGGTCCAGTGGCTCGATCTCGATCGGATGTTCAAGGGAGGAAAAACCACCCGGACCAGACCATTGGCGTGTACTAGCGGCCCTGGGCGTTTACTATACAGCCTTGCTTTTTTATGATTCCTTCTTCGGGTGCGTTTGCTAAACGGCTTCGCGTGTCGGGGTGGTTATTATCGGGGTGGATGTTCTGCCCTCTAGATGTGGTCCTGGCGCTCTGCGGATTTGCGCTGCCTCTGTTCGGCGGCTCGGCGCCGGCGCGGGCGCTCCAAGTGGGGCGGCCTCCATTGGCCGGGGGTGCTCGTGGCGCGGGCGGGCGGAGGCCCTGTTTGGTGCGGGGTGCGGCGCGCGGTGCCTCCGAAGCATCACTCGGACGTGCGCATTTTTTAGGAGGCTACATGCAAAATTTATCTTCCGGCAGTGGCGAAGCGTCCTGGCGTGCCTATAGACCTACCCAAACCATGTTCTGATAACCTTTTGTGGTTTCCACGATATCTTCTTAGAACACTTCTGGCTGGTACTGTCTTGTTTTAACAAACACATCGGGCTTATGTTATAAGAACAGCGTTTTGTTATTAGAACATTGTTAGGTTCTACGAACGCTTCGTGGCGGACCTATAGGAATGCGGGGACGGTCGGTCCCTGTTCAATATCCCGCATCCCCACGATTTCTAAGGGGGAGGTGGGGTTCACGTCGTTCGGGACCTCTCGAGCGAAGCAAGCCCCACCTCCCTCCTCAGACATCGTGGGGCGGTGGGGCAGGGTTCGCATGTGGCCTCCTATGTGCCTCGGCGGCGACCGAGGAGCATGTTGGCCAATCTTGCGAAAAATGCAGAGGAAGCCCATGCCAAGAAACATCTTGCTCGCCTCCAGGGTGCCCTGGGTGTCTTGATTTCGATGGTCTTGCGATGGAAAGCGTGACGTTCCCACACCGAGAATCCATGGACGTCCTGGGGCCTGAGGGGGAATTTTCTTGTGAAAGGTTTCTTGTGGTCGAGCTCCTACTGTACACACACGAAATCGACAGAGCGATGTCGAGCTGGGGGCGTGTGAGGACGCAGGAGATCTTCCAACGTTGAATGGTCCGCGCGGTGTCAGGGACTGTTGCCCGCGTCGTCAAAGCAGGAACCCGCCGTCGGTTGCAAGGGGTGGACCGGGGGGCAACAGCAGTATGCTACAGCAGCTGCCTTGCTCCAGCCTGAAGTTGTCAAGCCCGTGCTTCCGCGCGCTCTGCTTGAGCAGACTTTTTTTTCGTTTGGGGGCGTCGTCAAACAGACCACTGTCATCCGATCGTAGTGACCATGCCTGGTCAGACCACTGGGTGCACGTCGCTACCACGTCCGTTGGCCGCGGCCCGAATTTCCTTAGCCGCGCAGTCAGACACGTCAGTCGACTTGCCAGTCGGGCCTCGGGTTAGACAGCCTCCCGTCCGCAAGAGGGCTCAGTGCGTTCTCGCGTGGCTGGGCTAGTCGCGTCGAGCAACCCACGTAAACATTGAAAGCTTGATAGGAAAACGGCTGTATGGGTTCTCGGAGATTCACGGATATTGTAGGAGGGGAGTAAGTTAAGGATGAAAAGGAAGAGGGAGAGGAGGACGAGGACTCAGGAAGGCGAGGATTTCGGACGAAGGGCGGTGGGGGGGAGGACGAAGGAGCAGGAGGGGGAGGACGAGGGAGGAGGATGGGGAGGTGGATGGGAAGGGGGAGCAGGAGGGGGCGCAGGAGGACGACCCGCAGTTTGCGACAGCGTTCTTGAAGAAGGACGAGGAGGTGGAAGAAGAGGCGGAGGAGGGTGAGGAAGACGAGGAGGAGGAGGAGGAGGAGGAGGAGGAGGAGGAGGAGGTCTTGGAGGACGAGGACAAGAAGGTAGATGGGGGAGGCGGGAGAGGATGAGAATAATGAGCAGTACTGCGAGTAAAAATGCGGTGAGGGGAAAAAGGGGATAATGAGGAAGCGCGGAGGCTCCCGAGGAAAAGGTAGGAGGAGGAGAAGGCGGATTAGGATGAGGAGGGGCAAGGAATAATATAGGGAGGGGAACGGGCAAACAGCGGAGGAGGAAGAGGGAGAGGGCTGGATAACGGAGTTGTAGAATGGATGTAGGACAAGGAATGGACGGCAGTAGCCGTGCGTTTGCGCCTTCATGATTAGTTGTCTCTCTTCCAGGTTCACATTCATTGTTTCCCACCGGCCTGAGAGCGGGCTGTGCCTCGTTGCGGCCAGGTGCCAACGATGCGCGTTTGTTTCACCCGGCGGCTATCATTCTACGTCGTCTTCATGCGTTGCTGGGATAACGAATGGTGTTTGCAACGCAGTGCATCCGCATGCCCTTTGTGGGGAGGAGGGGAGGGGGGGGTAATTCTTGCAGATATGCTGAACGCTTCGCGTATTTCCACCAGCCCATCCAGGAACGATGCCTACGGGAGCTGCCCTTTCTCGGGGGAGCGTGGCACCATCGGGGTGCCTCGGGGGCCTCAGTGGGCTAAAGGACGTTGCTTGGGAGCTCTTGGAGGTCACTTGGGGCGTTTTGGGGGGGCTCTTACTGGCTGTTTGGAGCCGGTTGGTACGTCTTGGATGTCTCTCGGGGCCTCCTTGGGCCTTTGGGATTTTCTGGGGAGCCTCTTGGGTGCGTCTGGGAGCGTTTTTCGGTGCCTCTTGTTACCCTTTGGGGCTCTCTTGGGACATTTTCGGGCCGTCTTGGGGCCATCTTGAAGGCTATCAGTCGAAGAGCGACGGGGTTCTTGATTATCCAGCTGCCTGCGGCAAGTCCCCCCAACGTGCCAGCCCAGTTTTCTGGGTGGCGACTGTTCGAGGGGGCACGGGAGGCCGCCACGTGTGACGCCTTGTGTCTCCAGGCTTGGGACAGCCGTGATGAGGATGGTCAGGATTATGAGGATGACGGGGGTGATGACGACGACGATGACGATGACGGTGACGGTGACGGTGATGATGATGATGATGATGATGATGATGATGATGATGCTGATGATGATGATGATGACGACGACCATGGCCATGGTGATAATGATGACGACGACGATGATGCTGGTGGAGATGATGATGCTGTTGCTCACGTTGATGGTTATGATGGTTGTGATGTTGATAATGATGTTGACGACGATACGATGACGGTGATGATGGCAGTTGTGATGGTGATACTGATGACGGTGGTGCTGATGGTTATGATGATATTAATGGTATTGATGATTGTGTTTATAGAAACGACGATGATGAAGGGGGATGATAACGACGTCGACGATTACGATGATGAAAACGCTGATTATGATTATGATAACGGCGGTGATGGCGATGTGATGGTAATGTTGATGATGTTGTTGGTGCCGTCGTCGATTGTCGATGATGAGTATGATGAAGCTGGTGCTTATGTTGGTTGTGGTGATGCTGCGCATGATTATGATGATGCTGCTGATGATGATGCTGATGTTGATGATGACAATGTCGATGCTGATCATGATTATGATGTTGCTGGTGATTCTGATGATGAGAATCATGATGAGAAAGATGATGAGGGCGATTATGGTGATTATGCTGATCATGATGATGGTGGTGATACTGATGGTGATGATGATGATGGTGATGATGCTAATGGTGGTTGTGATGATGATGCTGATGATGTTGATGGTGATGATGATGCTGATGATGTTGATGTTGATGTTTATGATGATGATGATGATGATGATGATGATGATGATGATGATGATGATGATGATGATGATGATGATGGTGGTGGTGGTGGTGGTGGTGATGAACATGATGATGATGCTGATGCTGATGCTGATGCTGATGATGATGATGATGATGATGATGATGAGGATGATGAGGATGATGAGGATGATGATGATGATGATGATGATGATGATGAGTCGGCTCGTCCAGAGCTTCTTGGGGCTGTCTTTGCTTCCTGTTGGGCAGTCTTGGGGGTTCCTTGGGGCGCTTTCAGGCTGTGTTGGGGCCCTCTTACGCCGGCTTGGTGCTCTCTTGGGCCGTCTTCGGGCCTTCTTGGTCGTATGGTGGGTGTCTGGGGCCGTCGTGGGGCCGTCTTGGCGCCGTCTTGGGTCGTTGGAGGGCCTTCTAAAGGTCGTTTTGGTTCCCGCGGGAGGTCCTCTTGGTCCGTCGCGAGTGAAGGTTTCTTGGGCTATCGCGGAGTGGGCCGTCTTGAGCTGACGGCAGCGCGAAAAGGCGAGAATGCGAAAATCATGCAACACACCCACGGGAAATCAATGGTGCTGGCTTCTTCGGACCCTGTTGGAGGTCCCTTGGAGACAGTTTGGGCAGTCTTGAATCAGTATTCGGCCGCCTCGGGGTCATCTTGGGCCGTCTTCGAGGCATCTTGGATCATCTTGGTATCCTTGGTTGCCTGCACGGGCCGTCTCAGAAGCTCGGGACGCAGACCCATAGTTTTCAACAAGGGATCTCTGCTTTGGAGGCCTTGGAGCGCTGGGGAGCAGCGGCTGGGAATGCGGGATGTGCACGATCCTCGAGCGGGTGCGCGTGGGATGAGGGACCTAGGAGTCAGCAGCCATGTGGGAAGCGCACAATCCTCGAGCGTGCACCCGTGGGATGAGGGTTCAGGTATTTTGCGGCCGTGCGGGCAGTGCAGCATCCTCGAGTGGTCACGCGTGGAATTGGGGTTCAGGCATCAGCTACCATGCGTGAAGTGCACCATCCTCGAACGGGCGCGCGCGGAATGGGGGTTGATACATCAGCTGCCACGCTGGAAGTGTTTCATCCTCGAGCGGGCACGACGGAAGTGGCCTCGGTGAGTAGAGAGGATGCACGCAACAGTCTGCGAGTACAGGGAGGGTAGTTTCTTACAGTGGAGACCCATGCCAAGAAACACCCTGCTTGCCTCCAGGGTGCCCAGGGTTTCTTGGGTTTCGATGGTTTGCGATGGAAAACGCGACGTTCCCACGCCAGAAATCAATGGACGTCCTGTGGTCTCAGGGTTGGGTTTCTTGTGGGAAGTTTCTTGTGGTCAGGCATGTCAGAATCAATGATTTGTGCCTTCTCGCTTTGGCGTTCTTGGGCGCTAGGGGGGGGGGGGGCAGGGGGACGGGTGCCCCGAAGGGGAAGACAGGAGTAGATGGAAGAGGAAACTCGCTAAACCACCTCCGCCCAGAGGACTGGTGGGATTGGTGCAGATGGCATCCTGGACTTGCCTGGGGGCTAACACACGCTGCGATCTGGCACAACGATTTCTTCTGGAGGCTAGGTTGCGTCGTACACACGGCGTCCACCATTTCGACTTAACATGCGGTGCATCGTTGTGATGGCCCCGCCTCAGGTACTTGTTGATGGCAGTTGGCCGGGTCCGGACTGGCGAGCTTCTGGAGGATCCGCGCTCCCCTCCCATGCGCAATGCCTCTCATTATGTTTTTTTTTCTGTGGGCCGGCCTGCTTGCGAAATGAAGCTGAGACAGTTGTTTTCCATCCATAGCGTTGGCATACATTCAGGGCGAAGTCCGTGCGGCGCCGAGTGGCAACACGATTCCGGAGACCGCAACCACATTGCATCCGTGTAACAGCTTCATGCCGAACAGAGCATCGATACGAAGTCCTCGCCATTAATAGTATGACGCGTTCTACTAGAGCGCCTGGTTGTAACTAAGTCTGAATGTAAGCGAGTCTGGACGCGAGTGGTTGGACATGAGTGAGCCTGCGTACGAGCATCTAGATGTGAATGGGTCTGAGTGCGAGTGACCCTGCGTGTGTGAGGCCTGTAAGCGAGTTGGGGTACGAATAGGCATCGATATGATCTGGTTCTCCTTGGTCTCCTCCTCCTCTCCTCTATTATTGTTCTTCTTCTTCTTCGCCTCCTCTCCCCCCCACCTCCTCGAAGACGGCGGTGCCCGTGCCGCCGTTGGCGGCCTGCCCTCCTTCGCCGCCTCCCCCTCGGCGCCTCGGTGGTCATCGATGTGTCCGACTCGTCCCCACATCCCCCGCCCCCCTCTCCCCACACTCCCTCGGAGAGGCGGAGGAGGAGGAGGTGGAGGAGGAGGTGGACCACCTCCTCATCGTGAATAAAGTAACCCCTAACCTTATTAGAACAGTGAAGACGTGGTCTCACTGAGGCCCCCGTCTTTGCATTGGGGATCATACGTCTGGGCGGTTTGGCTCGATACATATGCAGAAGGGAGCCCCTATCCCTAGTGTTTCTGGCCCTCCTAACTGAGGTCCCCTCCCAAACGATGAGGGGTTCTTTTTTGGTTAATCACCACCCCCTCCTTGCCGTTCCGGGCAGATCGCCAGGGCCCGCGCCCAGGCGGCACGCCTGGCGACACGACGAGGGGGCGCTTCTTCATTGGCAAAGGAGAGCAGCCGCTAGGCCGAGGGAACCGCCCCTTGAGCTGGTCTCCCAGCGGTGATGACCTGCTCGCGGCACGCGAACACGGGTCGGCACTGTGCACGCTTTGTACATGGGTGCTTTCGACAACGTTCGATCGCAATTCGCACTTCGATTTGCTGCTCGTGCCTGAGGATCCTCTGCGCCTGATTTAGAAACCCGAGAAACGGGCGCCGTGCGCAGGTCATCACCACTGGGGGGTCGGGGTCGTCCCTGGGAGGGCGCCAGGGGGCGGCCCAGTCAGCCCAGCGGCTGTGACTGTCTCGTCTGCGCTCCCGGAGGCTAGTGTGGTTAGGGAGAGCAGGCGGAGGTGGTGGTGGACCACTCCCTCCTTGTGTCCGCGGTCATGATTTATCCACAACCACCACCTCGGGGGTAGATTTCCGAGGAAATCAACAGGCGGTGGATATCTCTCTGTCTCTCTCTCTCTGTCTCTCTATGTGTATGTGTGTACGTATGTACGTATGTATGTATGTATGCATGCATGTATGTAGGTGTGTACATATGTATGCATGTATGTTCATATGTATGTGTATACATGTAAATCGTGTGCATGTGTGTATGCATGCATGCATGCATGTATGCATGCATGCATGTGTGCATGCATGTATGAATGTATGCACGTACATATGTATGTGTGTATGTATACATGTATGTTTATGTGTATGCATGTATGTATTTAGATGTATATGTACGTACTTATGTGCGCATGTCTATGTGTTAATGTATGCACGCATGCATGTATGGGTGCGTGCAGGCCGTCCTGTATGTAAGTGTGCATGAATGCATACATGCATGCGCGTATGCATGTGGCCATGTGTATACGTATGGATGTATGAGTGTGTAGGTGTGTACGCACGTGTGTATGTATGTATGTGTGCACGCATGAATGTACGCCGGTATGTGTATCAGTGTGCATGTATGTATGCATGTGTATGTATGTATTCATGTATGCATGGATGCATTCATGCATGCACGCATGTGTACAGGTATGTATGCATGGTGCATGTGAGTATGCATGTATGTATGTATGCATGGACGTGCCCATGTATGCATGCGTATATGTGTACTCATGCATGCATGTATGTATGCAAGTATACAGTTATGGATGCATGCATGTATGTGTGGGCATGTATGTCTGTGTGTATCTGCGTCTGCAGGCATGTATGTATGTATGTGTGTATGTGCACTTGTATGTATGCATGTAGGCAGGCATGCATGTCTTTAGGTACGAAGGTCGGTAATCATATTCATGCATATGTATTGTATAGATAGACAGGCACGTGTCAGGTATGTGTATGTATGTGCGTGTATGTATGTACGCCTGCATACATGTATTTATATATGTATATGGATAAGTGCCTACATGTGTGTATGCGTATGTGTATGTGTGTATATATGTATGCATGTCTGAATCCATGTATGTGTATATATGAATGGCGAATGTAAACTTTATGCACGTATGTACATTTGATGCATGCATGTGTGTATGGATGCATATATGTATGTGTATGCGTTTGTGTACGTGCTGGTATGTATGGATGTGTGCGTGCAGGCAAATGTGTATGCATTTATGCATGTAGGTAGGTAGGTAGGTCGGTACGTCGATATGTAGGTTCATGTACGGATACCTGCTTGTATGCATGAATGTATGTACGCATGCATGCATACCAATGTGTATATGTGTCTGTGTACATCTAGATCTCCTTGCTTCGAATATTATTATATCAGACCCTCCGCTGGACCCTCACCCCGTATATAAATTTCCCCCTCGGCTCTTAAAGCGGCTCAGGAGGGCTCAAGACGGCTCCAAGACGGCCCCGGAAAGCCCCAGGAGGCCTCACGAGGGCCCGAAGAGCCCCCCAGGACGGCGTAGATGAGCCCAAGATGACCCACAATAGACTACCCAACGACCTCCCAGGACGGCCCAAAAGGGCCCCAACAAAGCTCCCGCAAGGCCCTCAGAAGGCAAACATAGTAAGTTTTCGATCGGTGGTAACAGTTCATTATGCTTCGCTTCTTGGCGCCGGAGCGCCCGAGACGTTCGAAAGCACCCCCCAGATCGCTCCAAGACGACCCCATGCGAGCCCTAAGACGGCCCCAAGTAGGGCCCAGCATTTCCCAAAGGGGGCCGAAGACAGCCCCAAAGCGCTGCAAGAGGGGCCCCAAAGTGGCCCGAGACGGCCCAAGAGGCCCCCAAGATTGCCCCAGAGGGGTCAGTGCTCCAGAGGGCTCCAAGACGGCCCAAGAGGCCCCCGCAACGGCTTCAGAACGGCCCCTAGAAGCCCCTAAGAGAGGCCCACTCGCGAACCTGCGTTAGTACGACTCTATACATACATCTTTCGCTTTTCTTATCGGCAAACCACCGTTTCGGACCTCTTCAACACCCCGTGCATAAACTCCCTGCCAGACGCCCCCATCGCCAGAAACTTGCATTTTGAGTTCCGAGTGCCCCTCGCGGCCTTCTTCGACCGCCCAGGCAGAAACCAAATCGCCTCCCGAACGGGCCCAAACGTCCTCAGCACGACCCCAAAGGCCCCCAAGAGACCGCACGACAGACCCAGGATATCCCCACGAGAGCCTCAAGCGCTTGAATCTTCCGTCCTTGCGACGTCGTCCATACATTTCAACGTTCCCGCTCTTTGGAGCTTCCGACCGCCTATCCGCCAAGAGCTTTCCGAACCTGCGACACCCCTGAGCCCTACCAGCCCCACACCCTTACGAGACCGATGAGTCTCACTGTCCATCACTGCCCCGTACACACCAGCGAGCCCCAGGACCCCCTGGAGCCCCACGACTCCCATGATTCCGATGAGCCACATGAGCCCAACCCCTGAGCCTTCCGACCCTCGCTACCCCCATGAACATCCCCCCCGGGCACCCCTCAAACCCGTTTGGCCTCCATGAGCCCTACCAGCCCCACGAGCCCGATCGGCCCCACGAGCCCTGTGAGCCTCAGAAGCCCTGCGAGCCCCAAGGACCCTGCAAGCCCTATGAACTGCATCATCCCCACGAACCCTTTCCAGCACCCTGAGCCCTGCGAGCCCTATGAGCTTTCCGTGCCCTGAGAACCCTACGCACTTTGTGTGATCTACGAGCCTTACGACCCTGTAGAGCCTCCCGAGTTCTGTGAGTCTTACGAGCCCTATGAGCCCGACGAGCCCTACGAGCCCTACGGGCGTTCTGACCCCCATAAGGCCCTCTCGCCACAGCCGGCACGTGACCTACTCTACTACCTACAGCGCGTCGGTGCCGCACAAACACCTCTTCACTGGAACGCGGTCGCTGGCGAGCGCGCTTCTGGACGCCCAGTGGTCGCGACAAAATGAGCCCCAGGCAGCCAGCCGAACTCACTGCGAGACGCCCCCTCCTCCTCCTCCGCCTCCTCCTCCTCCCCCGCCTCGTCCTCCTCCTCCTGATCCACCTCCTTCTGCCCCTCCTCCTCCTCCTCCTCCTCCTCCACGAGCCCTGCGACCCCCGCGGGCTCGATCAGCCTACGAAGCCGTAAGAGCCTCGTGAGCCCTGCGAGCCCTATGAGCTATGAGAGCCGCCTCGCCCCTTCGAGAGTCCCGCGAACCGTACGAGCCTCGCGTCGTCGTCGTCGTCGTCGTCGTCGTCGTCGTCGTCGTCGTCGTCGTCGTCGTCGTCGTCATGCTCGCCGTCGTCGCCGTCGCATGAGTCTTACAAACCTCGCGACCCCTACGGCCCTCAAGAGCTCAGTGAGCCCTACGAGCCTTATGAGTTCACGAGCCCTACGAGGCCTACGGGGCGCTATGACCCCCGTGAGTCTCGTGAGCCTTGCGAGCCCATGATTCCCCTGGGCCCCACAAGCCCCAGGAACCCTGCGAGTCCCATGAGCCCTACGCGCCCTACGAGCCGCATTAGGCCCAGGGGGCTCTACGAACTACGAGCCGCACGAGTTCTACGAGAGCTACGAGCCCTACTACCCAGCGTGTCCCCAGTTCCGTTCGGTTCGTTTCGGTTCGGGGGAAATTGGTTCGGTTCTACACGGCTCCGGTTTCGGAGCTGTTTGAGGCGGTTCCCATTCAAAGGGCGGTTCCGTTTCAGCTTGTTCCATTTCGGTTCTCGGTTCTTGCAGATGATGTGTGCGCGTGTGCGTCTACATGATCATATGGAGGCGTTTGGAGGTTCAGTTCAACCAGGAGTCAGGAGGAACACTGGGGCCAGGGGGGCCACTGGGCCCAGCTACCCGACGAGCCAGGGGAACCACTGGGCCCAGACGTTACGCATGGTGCCTTCGACGGACCAGTCGACAGCATCGTGCCCCCTGGACCAGGGGGCTCTGGCGACAGCGGGCGACTCTTCAGCGCCAGGATAGAAAGCGCTTGGACTACGGTCTTGGACAGTACGGACCACTCATTCCTGGCATGGGCCATCCCAAAGGACAACTGGGAAGGCACGGGCGCCGCCCGCGCCCTCACGGGGCGCGCGCAGGATGGTGGGGGCCCAGCCCCGGCCGCCGTCCCCAGTTCGGCCCTGGAGGCCCCGAGGGCCCCTGGAAGCCCAAAGCGCATTTGTCGAACCGTCCAAAAATGCGATTTGAGCTTTCCCGCCGCCCTGCCGTCCCCAGTGCAGCCCTGGAGGCTCCGAAAACCACCTGGAGGCCCAAAGCGAATTTTCGAACCGTCCAAAAATGCAATTTGAGCTTTTCCGCCGCCCTTCCGTCCCCAGTGCAGCCCTGGAGGCTCCGAAAACCACCTGGAGGCCCAAAACGCATTTTCGAACCGCCCAAAATGCGATTTGAGTTTTTTCCGCCGCCCTGCCGTCCCCAGTGCAGCCCTGGAGGCTCCGAAAACCACCTGGAGGCCCAAAACGCATTTTCGAACCGTCCAAAAATGCGATTTGAGTTTTTGTCCGCCGTCCTGCCGTCCCCAGTGCAGCCCTGGAGGCTCCGAAAACCACCTGGAGGCCCAAAACGCATTTTCGAACCGTCCAAAAATGCGATTTGAGCTTTTCCGCTGCCCTGCCGTCCCCAGTGCAGCCTTGGGGGCCCCGAAAACCACCTGGAGACCCAAAGCGCATTTTCGAACCGCCCAAAAATGCGATTTGAGCTTTTCCGCCGCCCTGCCGTCCCCAGAGCAGCCTTGGAGGCTCGCCCAAAACGCATTTTCGAACCGCCCAAAATTGCGATTTGAGTTTTTTCCGCCGCCTTTCCATCCCCAGCGCAGCCTTGGAGGCTCCGAGAACCACCTGGAGGCCCAAAGCGCATTTTCGAATTCGATTTGAGCTTTCCCGCTGCCCTTCCGTCTCCAGTGCAGCCTTGGAGGCTCCGAAAACCACCTGGAGGCCCAAAGCGCATTTCCGAACCGCCCAAAAATGCGATTTGAGCTTTTCCGCCGCCCTGCCACCCCCAGAGCAGCCTTGGAGGCCCCGAAATCCACCTGGAGGCCCAAAGCGCATTTTCGAACCGTCCAAACATGCGATTTGAGCTTTTTCGCCGCCTTGCCGTCCCCAGTTCGGCCCTGGACAAGCAGCAAAACAGGACGAGGGAACTCGGGGGCGCAGGGGAGGAGTTGGGAGCGGGTGGGATGGACCTAGCGCAAGAGTGGGCGCTCGCATCGGGCAATTCCCAAGGGTCCACCTCCACGACCCGTTCCCGGTTCGGTTCCCGGTTCGGGCCCGGTTCGGTTCCACCGCCTTCGGTTCGGCTTGGTTTCGGTTCACGTCGGGTTTTTGACGGGTTCCATTTCCGTCGGTTTTCCCTCGGTCGGTTCGTTTCTGTGGTTCGCGGTTCGATTTTGTGGTTTACTGACTACCCCCAAGTGCCCCGTGAACCCTACAACCCTTTCGGGCCCTACTGCCCCGATGGGCCTTACGAACCTTATGAGCCCCATGAGCCCCTCCAGCCCCATGAAGCCTATGAGCCATACGCGCGCAATGAGCCTTACGAGCCCTACAAGCCACACGGCCCCCATGAGCCTTCCGAGCCCTACGACCCCCATGAGCCCCATGACACCGACGACCCGCGCTAGGAGTCGCCAGCGAATTAGAGCCTCTTAGACATTATAAGCCTTAAACAAAAACTTGCACGCGCGAAGAACCCAATCTAAGCGCAAGGATGGTTCTCACATGTTCAGCTAAGCCCATGCGCCACAAGTCCGTTGCACAGACGGCACTGGTGGCCGCGGCGAACCTCGTTGCTTTCTTGAGGAAGCGCAGAGAGCAGGGATACTTATAGATAAACACATGTACACTCGTATTTACACACAGAAGTACATGCATACCTACCTATCTACATACACACAACCATACATACATTTATACACGCATCGCTCCATATATATATATATATATATACACATACATACATACATACATACGTACATGCATACATACAAACAAACATGCATACATACATGCATGTATACACGCATACATACATGCATACATACGTGCACATTAACAGACGAACAGACATATATTCATACATACGTACGCACGTACATACATACAAACAAACATACGCATACATACGTACATGCAAACACACACGTACATACATACGTATGTACCTACGTACGTACGTACGTAGATGCATCCGTATATACGTACACACATACATACATACACACATACATACATATATACATACACGCATACACACATATACCATATATATATATACATAGAAAGAGAGAGAGAGAGAGAGAGAGAAAGAGAGAGAGCGAGAGAGTGTGATCAACACACAAAAGACTTCGGCCCATGCAGCCACCGTGCCTGGGGTGGCCATAGGCCTCTAGGATGTCCTCTCGGGGGCCTCTTGGGGGCTTCTGAGGCCTCTCGGGGGGCGTCTTGGGTTTTCTTGTGGCATCTTCGGGGCCTCTTGGGGATCTCTCGGGGCCTCTTGGTGGCCTCTTGGGGACTCCTTGGGGCCTCCTGGGGGCCTCTTGGTGGCCTCTTGGGGCAGAAGACTCGGATTTTCGGTTCGTGTTCTCCCTCTTGGGCCCTTCTTGGGGCTGTCTTTGGGCGGCCCTCTTAGGCCGTCTTGGGCGCCCCTGGGGTCGTCTTGGAGCCCTCTTGGGCCGTGTGGGGGTTCCTTCTGGGGGCCTCTTGGGCAGTCTTGGGGCGGTCCTGGGGGCCTCTTGGGCCGCCTTGGAGTGACTGGGGCGTCTCTCTGGGAGGCCTCTTGGGTCATCCTGGGCGTTTCGGTGTGATTTTTCTGCGATTCGGGGCCCTCACGATTGTCTTTGGGGGCTTTGGGGGGCCTTCCTGGCCATTCTTGGAGCCCTCTTTGGGGCCCGAACCCGTGGCGCGGCAAGCCGCCGGGAACCCCAAGAGGGTCACACGGCGAGCCCCAAGAGGTTTGCGAATTTCGGGTCCGGTCCCTTGCAAGACTCCTCTGGGTTGAGGTCTGAGGCTCGAGGGATTCGGCAGAGGTCCTGAGGACACGCCCACTTCGTGCCCAGAGGCACGGAGGCAAATATTTTCATAGACGTGTGTATATATATATATATACATTTATGTTTATATATATAAATAAATGTATATATATACATACATATATACATATATTTATATATATATATGTCTTGGCATTTAGATTCGTATCTTCGGGGGCCCAAGTCTGTCCATATCCAGCGCCCGCTGGAGCCCCATGACGTCAGTGCCCCGGGCGGCGGACGCATGCATAAGGTCCCTCCTCTCGCATGGAGCCCCCCCCCCCCGAGGAGCTCGGCCTGCAGCACCTCGCGCCCCCCCCCGCGCCGCGGCGGAGCGCCCCGCGTGGCGGCGCGGCCGCGGCGGCCGCGGACGTCGCGGGGCGAGGTGCCCGAGACGCGGAGGGCGAAAGATCCGAGGCGAGGATTCTCGAAGAAGCAAGAACGCCATAAACATAAGCTTTTGGCGCTCCGCCAGAAGTGAATGCTTATGCCGTTGTTTCTTTTTCTAGGCTCGCCTCTCAGGGGTGGAGACGCTGCTGACCATGTAACTTGTACGGGGCTGGGCCCGAGGTCGCGCAAGGGAGCCGTCCATTCAATCCTGGGCGCTCTTCCTCGATTTCTGCCTCTGTGGCCCGCTATGGGGCCCCGGGACCACCAAGAATGGGTTCGGAACGAAGAACTGGCCCCAAGGAAGGTGTCGGGACTCGTCTCTCAGGGAGGGGCCACTTCAAAGCACAACTCGCTAGAACCATGCGGGGAGGCACGTCCGATTGTCAGTCTGACCTGCCAGCGGCACGAAAATGTCTTATCCCCCGATCCGATGGCCCGGAGGACCCGTAGACGTCTTGGGGCACTTCGAGGCCCCTAAGAATTGACGACAAGTGCATCCCATAGACATTATGGTAGCAATAAGTCATATTGTATGTGTCTGCTGTGCGCCCACCCGGCGGCTCCCTGCGATGGTGAGGGTAAACTTTGGGCTTTGCTTCGCGATGATGCAGCCCGGCCAGAAAGGGAGCAACACAAGTGGGAGTGCCGGAGAGGGGCCCGCAAAGTCCGCATCACTGCGAGAATCGCGGCTTTCAACATCAGGAAGAGGAAGCTTCGATTACAATCGGTATCGGCATACTTTCCGCACACTGGGTATACGGACCGCCACATCTAGCAGTTGTACGACACCGCCAGCGCTCTACTCAGTGAAGCACGTTCCCGACGTATGCGCACAATCATGGGTGCCGACTTCAACGCTCCCCGAATGGACGTCCGAAAGACGAGGCTGACTTTGCGCAACCCCGATCCGACATCTGTTCTCACTACGTGGGGCCCCACGGGTTCGGCGACGAAAACTCCCGAGGCCAATGGTTACGACATTGGGCTACGAACGAGAGGCTTGCAATGGTGAGCACGTTTTTCCGCAAACGCCCAGACAAACTGATCACCTACACAACGACAGGCGGCAAACCTCGGCAGTACGACTACATACTAGTGGACAGGTGCTTGCTACCTTCATGCTGGAACGCCGAAGCCAGCAACGAAATTGACCTTAACTCCGACCACAAGGCGGTATCTCTACACATGCGCCGCAAATTGTTGGGTTCCGGCACAGACAGACAACAGCGACGGGCCAGACATGCCACCAAGCAAGGACAACGACTGACCGACCCCAACGAGTATTGACGTCATTTGGGCTCCAAATTGCAACCCGAAGTGCTACCAGCTGACCCCGACGATCTCAACAAAACAATCGAGAAAAGCTTGAACGACGCCACGCTGCACAGCACATCCCCCAGGGAAGCACAAACCAGTACGACAAGCAATACAAACAAGTACGACGACACCACCAACCTCGACGACATCATCACCAACCTTGTGGAGTGGAGCAGCGCAGACTTATCCCAAACGCAGACACAAAGAGCCGGCGGACGATCAGCAAAGCAATACAGAAACACATTCAACAACAGAAACGCACCAAACGACGACAGCAGATCAGCACCATTTTCGAACAACACATGGACCTCAAGCGCATCAGTTCCATCAAGACGAGAAGGAGACGAACGCTCATCACGGAACGGCACCAAGCACACGATTCGTCATGGCATTGTTGATGTCTTCGCGACGTTCTACGAGGAGCTGTACAACTCCACCGACACCGTCGACGCAGCACCAAGCACGACCGACGCCCATCAGCACATCACACCCTTTACGGCGCAAGAACTCGACGCAGCAATCTCGCAACTCAAGTTGGGGAAGTCTCCGGACACCGAAGGGATTACAGCAGAAATGCCCAAGAAACCATGCCCAGAACTTCAAAATGACTCGTTGCAGTTCTATAACACCGTCCTCGATCCGAACGCCCTCACACCAGCAAGCTGGAGGAAAACAGTGATCACAGTCATCCCCAAATCGGGCGACTTATCTCTTCCACAGAATTACCGCACAAAATATTCAGTCGTCTGCTCTACAACAGATTATCGGGCCGGACGAAAGGGGGAGATTGGGAAAGGGGGGGTTACGAAATTTGCTGCATGCAGCTGGTTTCGGCCTCACCGAGGGGCCCATTCCTCGATACGTAGCCGCCTCCGGCGCCGGGAGGCGCCGGGAAAATCAGCTACGCAAGCTGATTCTCACCCCCCCCCTTTGCTATCCCCCCCTTTCGCCTGACCCGAGATTACAGCCAGTCCTTGAACAACGGCAGCCCGACGACCAAGCGGGATTCAGACCTTGACGCGGCACGCGCGACCACCTCTTCACTTAGAGCGAGCTTCTGAATGGAACCAGACCCTGTGGATTGCTGCCGTAGATTTTAAGAAAGCGTTCGACACAGTAGAGCACACCAGCCTATGGACAGCACTACGACGACAAGGCGTGCAACCCGAGTACGTCCACCTGCTCCGGCGTCTCTACCACGACCAGACTTTGTCCGCACCGACTCCACCAGCAAACCTTTCAAGCTCATACGAGGCACAAAACAAGGAGACCCGTTGAGCTCACTGCTCTTTAACGCTCTACTGCAGCACGCCCTGGAACCTCCCATTCCGGATTGGCAGCGACGACAACGAGGAATGCATTTAGCGCACACCGACGAATCTGTTCTTACCAACCTCCGCTTCGCCGACGACATCCTCCTGGTCAGTCAGAGTACCCAATTTGAAGGCACTGCTTGGGGACTTAATCAAAGCAACAGCTCCTTACGGCCTTGAAATACACCTAACCAAAACAAAGATCATGACAAACCGGACCAGGACCTGGACGCGTTCGGCGAGAGTTGCAACCATGGACGTCGAAGTAGTACCACGTTCTGGAAAGCTGAAATATTTCGACCAGACCATAATTTGTCAAGACTCACCGGCGACCGAAAACCAGCATCGCATCCACGCGGCATGGGCATGTTTCACAGGGCACAGACAGGAATTAACGAGCAAACGCTACCCACTCAAACACAGACTACGACTGTACCGTGGCACCGTCATGTCCACAATGATGTACGGCGCAGAGTCATGGACAATGACAGAACCCCTCAAACAGCAGTTGCGCCGCACGCAACGACGAATGGTCAGAGCGATTATCGGGACACCGCGGCGACACATGTCAGCAGCTTCTTCAACGCGTGCTATCCCAGCGACGGGTAACTCTGACAACGATGATCTCGACGGTAACGCTTCTGACGACTCCAGCGGCCACGACGCCTCCAGCGACCCGCCGACTCCCATCAGACCCGCCCCAAACAGGTGACGACAGCATCGACCCACCCCGCACGACCCAGACGCCAGCAGGCGGCAGACGATGCTGAACTCCGGTCTGACTACATCCGCCGGTGCACCCGCAGAGCGGAGGAACTCATTAGCATGCACGACATCCCACACGTCACCCACATGCATCGCACAATGGTTTGGCAGTGGGCAGCACACGTAGCGACCCACCCACCAAACAGATGGACACAGCGAGCTCTGAAATGGAATCCCGATGCGGACACAAAACAACAGGGTTATCGACAGCACGGTGGCCAGCACAAGCGATGGGACGACGATTTGCGGAAGTTCCTACACAATGTGCATCGACAGACAGGCGACGATGACACAACGCGACGCCAACGACGACGCCACCCAACCACGACGATTCTTCCACCGCGACACCAACGATGTAAGGTGGCTCACAGCTGCGGCACGGACGACATGGTGGAACTCACTCGAGAGAGCCTTCGTCGCTGCATGATTCTAACCGTGCAGTGCTGACGGCCGACCACGCGACCCTAAGCACCGACCACCAACAACCAAGCACTACAACACTGACTACCGGCGACTTGCTGCAACACCAACACCAAACCCAGCACAGACGACCAACACAGACTCTACCCAGCGACGTGGCACCAACACACCACGACATCGACTACAAGGATTCCTCCCCCTCCTCCCCTCACCTCCGTTTCACATAACTTCGTACATGTCTCGCATGCACGCCTCACCATACACAATAGCATTTCAGAGGCCACGGCCTTATTCACCTGGCCTCCAGTAGGCCCGGACTGCTGTCCGCATTGGAGGTCGTTCGTGCGTACTCGATTCTGGGCTCTCTTGCCCTTCGGAGTCTCCGAGCGGTACGGCCAGGCTCATGTCGACGCAGCGGCGACCCCGCCGCGGGCGTGCTAGGTTGAACGCCGCCGGTGGCCCACAGTCGGTCCACATGGAACGACCTGGGGATCGGCATGCCGCCGCTCGTTCGTTCAAGGCTGAATGATCTACATGGTGCCAGAAGCCAGCGCCAGGACGGCACGAACCTCGTATTCGGCCTCCGGGGGACCCCTTCGTCGCCACGGCTGGGCGCAGCTCGGAAGCCTGATGTGTCTGGTCCCAGGGATGTTGAGCTGCCGTCGTCTCAACTCGCCGTGCTCCGATTGTCCACCACCGCCTGGGGGATAGATTTTGGAGAATCTCAGCAAGCGGTGGGTGTGGATACATTCGCTTCCGGCTCTTGGGGGACCCAAGTATGTACACAGTTACCGCCCCCTCGGGCCCCAGGACATCGGTTCCCCTGGCAGGGGTGATAGATCCCTTCACGCCTCGCAGGAACAAAAAGAGCGCGGGCGCGAGTCTCCCAAGAGGCCCCAGGAGGGCCAGGGACAGGGGAGGAGGAGGAGGAGGAGGAGGAGGAGGAGGAGGAGGAGGAGGAGGAGCAGGACGACGCGCCCAACCATCCCCAACGCCTTGAGTTGCCCGGTTGATGTGGCCAACCCATCCGGATCAGTGGGCGCACTACACATGGTTGACGATGTGATGAGGGACGCGCTTTGCATGAAATCCATATCGGGAGTGCACTCATTGGTCGCCCACGGTACCTGCCGACTGATATTACATGTATGGGGTGGCAGAATGACAAGGATGGCAAGGAGAAAGTCCAGAGAGCAGGGGGAACGCACGTGGGCGGAGACAAAACCGTGGACGGCGGGGATGCGATGCTGACGAGGACAGAGGGGAAGGGGGAGGATGACGACGACGAGAGGGAAAGAGAGGGAGGGCGCGAAGGAGCGAGGATGAGGAAGATGCGATGCGATAGTGAGCGGATTGTGCCACGCCGCTCTGGAGGCTCTAGAGCGCCGTCATTGTTCATGTAAGAGTCGAACGAGGCACAGTTCCCGTCCCAGGGTCTCGGCCTTTTTCCTGCAACTCTGCGCGCGGGCGGGAAACGTCTACAGGTGCGCCGCCAGGTCCTACATCCAGGCCCCCCCCGCCGGCTCCCCTCTGCCTGGTGCTTTTCCCATTTTCACCTGTGGGCGCGGGGCAGCCGCCGTTGGGCCACGGCCACCACCATCCGTCCGTCCTCCGCAGCCGCTTTGTCTCAAGCTGGCCGGCTCTGGCCGCGGAGGAGGGGGGCCGTATGGATGCCGGCGCCGCCAGTGCTGCCGCTCTCACGGGGCTCCCAGAGCGGCGGAACTCGCGGATCTCGGCGGGCGAGCGGGCCCGCGGGGCGATTCTGTCGTGGCGGCTGCGGAGGCGGTACCTGCTTTACTGCGGCGCGTGCACGGCTGTGGCGGCGGTGCTGCTCCTGTGGAACTTGCAGGAGCCATGCGGGAGGCACATCAAAGTATCCGTTTGACCTGCCAGCGGCAGGGAAATGTCTTATCCCCCGATCCGCTGGCCTGGGGGCCCAACAGACGTCTTGGGGCCTCTCGAGGCCTCCTCAGGATCGACGACAGGTGTGCCCCCTAGACTTGTGATTGCAACATTTCATATCGTATGTATCTGCCGTCTGCCCACCTGACGACTCCCTGCCATGGTGACCCCCGACATTTCTGGCAACCACTTCAAAGTAGATTCGGCGCGCGGTAGGGTAAAGCCGTAAAGCTTTGGCTTCGCTTCGTGATGATGCAGCCCGGGCAGAAAGGGAAAAGCACAGGGGGGCGCTATGGAGGGATCGTCAAAAGTGCGCATGTGCGCATGAAGGAGGCCGTGTCCAGCGGCTGGCAGATCTCAGGCGTCTCTCGGTGCGCGTGGATCGATTGCCTCGAACTTGCCTTGGGCGCGGTCCTGATCGCAGAGACGCTGCTGACCTTGTACGTGATGGGCCCGAGGTCGCGCAAGGAAGCTGTCCATTCAATCTGGGCGTTCTTCCTCGGTTTCTGCCATTGGGTCTTGTTTTCGGGCCCCAGGACCACCAACAAAGGATCCGGGGCGAAAGTTGGTCCTTGGGAAGGCGTCGGGACCTCTAGTGTCGCGGATTGACAATACTCATATCTGTTAATGTCTGGTACATTGATACCGCTACGCTCCCATCGTCGCAACGTTTGGATTTGCTTCGAACTTCTTGGCAGGACGCTTCCCTGGAGAGGTCGAGGGATTGCATCGGGCCTGGGCATTTCTGTCAGGCCGCTCTCGGCCAGACAGATGGGCCACCTTCAGCCACCAGGACCAAGGCCTGGCCGCCAAAACGGGTCGCTCAGGATGGCTGTGTGGTGTCGGATGCCCCACCACTATGTCCAGAAAGGCCTCCTGAGAGCATATGAGCACACCGAGAAATCTCAGACAAACTCATATTCCTGAGGTGGAGGTGCCTGCCTCTTGAGTCTAGAGACGTCTGTCAACCGTTGCGGGTACCCGGAACCTTTAGAATTGTTCGAAAGCCCACCGAAGCATTCCCCAACAATTTCCGACAGACCCCGACAGCATTCGAAACCATCCCTACTCATATTAGTTGTCCTAGAGGTCGCTCGTGTGGAGGTAAAGCATGCGTTTGGATACCTTTGGAAAGCTTAGCAGAACACCGCGGTAAGTCTTTTAGAACCACCCCCAATAATGGAGTCGACTTATCTGTTCGACGCCCGTATTGACGGATTGGGGCCCACCAATCGCGGACCATAGTTACTTTTATCCGTGGTATTCGCCGCACAGCACGACGAGGACGACGAGATGGAAGAGGATATTGTGAGCAACGCTTTCGGTGAAGAATGTCCCGATCTATGTTGCAATCCTCTTGCACACGTGCTTAACATTCCTGTCGCGCAGGGAAGCCCAGGGGGCATTCTTCTCTGGAAGAAAGAACCCCCCAACATTATCTAGAGCGGCGAACCTTAGTGGGAAAATGACACCCGCCGGGACGACGATGACGACGACGACGATTACGATTACGACTACACGGGTGCAATCACGATTACAATCATAGTTACAACCACGACCACAATCACGACTACAACCACATCCACTGATTCTCATGACCGTCCTCATGGTGATATGCTCACGAATCATCTCACATATAGGTTAGCCCACAATGGATTGTTCCCTGGGGGAAAGAACCCCCCAACATTATCCAGCCCGCAACAATAGAGAGAAATAATCTCCGCCGCGACGACGGTGACGAGGAGGGGGGAGGGGGAGGAGGAGGAGGAGGAGGAGGAGGAGGAGGAGGAGGAGGAGGGAGGAGGAGGAGGAGGAGGAGGAGGAGGAGGAGGGGCGAGCTTGTCTCCTGCTGCGAGAAACATGGGGAGCAGCACCAAAGACTTACCGAGGTTAACTACAAGCTTTTGAGACCTTAACATCCGTGACCATATCCCGGAACACCTGAGGCAGCCCACGTAAATCTGCAGACTTTCTTCTTCCTTTGTTGTTCCTCCTCTGCTTCTCTCCGCAGAACTCTGCGTGGGAAAGACCCGTACTTGAATAGACTTCCCCCCTCTCTCGTTTTCCTCCCTTTTCCCTCTCTCCTCGTCCCCGCTCTCCCCTCATCCTCACGCCTCCTGCTCCTCCTCCTCCTCCTCCTCCTCCTCCTCCTCCTCCTCCTCCTCTCCGAAGCTCTGGTTCTTCTCCCTCTCTTCTTCTCCCCGCAGGTCCTTCTTCGGCAGCGGCTGGTGCGTGCTCGACCTCTGCGTTGCGCTGCTGACCGTGCTGTCCATCGCGCTGGCGCTCGCGGCCCTCCTGAGCGGCAGGCGGGCGGGCGCGCCCTGCGCCCCGGGTGGGGTGGCGGTCGGGCGGCACCTCTCGGGAGGCCAGGCTCGCCACCGGGGCCCCTCCTGTCAGAGGAGGGAGCGGTACCCATTCCGAGGCCCTTCGCTCGTGTTCCCAGCTCGTTTCCCTGAGTTTCGGGCCTCCTGGGAGGCCCTCGTCGCCACCGCTCGATCCGCCTCGACATGCTGGTCAGAACGCACCCCGAGCCCTCCTGTCAGAAGGGGAAGCAGCACACTTTCCGATGCGCTTCCATCGTTGTTCATTTTTGGGCGATGTCGACATTCTGGTCAGAACTCACCCCGGGAGATGTTCGTGGAGTAGCGGTATCGGTACCTTTTGGTTTCCCCATCATGGCCGCGGTCCGCATCATCTTCCCGCCCGACCCCCTGCCAGTGTCTCCCAGGGTCTTCGGTTGGTTCCCTCCTCTCCTCTGCCTCTAGTCCGGGCCCGCGCGCAGCGAGATGCGACCTACTCGCGTGCGCCCGTGGTTGCGCGGTCCTACTGGAAGCGCTCGATCGGGAAACTATAGTCAAGACGCCGAAAAAAGTGGCACGCGTGCCCTGGCTCTTGCACAAAGGAGTTGCGAAGGACTGGAGGCTCCCGCCTCCTTCCTTCAGGAGGGGTTTCTTCCGGTGTAGTTTTTCATTCTGAACCTGGTTTTGGTGGTCTTGCGGCCTGAAAATGGCTGCTGGGGCGCGGGACGTAGGCCTGCGGCGTGGACAACGACGACGGTCTTGCGGCCTGGAAATGGCTGCTGGGGCGCGGGACATAGGCCTGCGGCGTGGACAACGACGACGACGACGACGACGACGACGACGACGACGACGACGACGACGACGACGACGACGACAGCGTGTTGGAGGAGGGGTTTGCGTTTTCGGGCCGCTGTTTAAATTCATGCAGTGGAACTTGACTGTGGCCTAGGCCCGTCGTGGCCAGACAAGACCCTTCGTTCATCATTATGCGCTACTTATGTTAGCATTAAGTCGGGCATGTCCCTCTACAGGAGAAATGTTCAAAACAGTCTAAACATAGTCTGGGGACACTGTTTTTTTGATTATGTTTGACAATGATGGAGTATGTGTTGGCTATGTTTAAAATCTGTCGTCGAACATCCGCCTGTAGGAGGACGTGCCCAACCTAATGGTAGCACGATGGCTGTACGAGAGCGGGAGGCAGGGGACTACGGCGGAGAATTGTCGGATAGCGCGTCGCGCTGCTGGTTCTGGCCCACCATGCTGTGGAGCGACACGCGGTCCACCTCCCAGTCCCCAGGCGTCAACGTCCCGAGCCTTCCGAGCTTCCCGCCCCGCGAAGCGGAGCGACGCGCTACCCGCTTGCACGGCATAGCGTGTCGCTGGGGCCCCCGCGGCGACACGCTGTCGGCACCACCAAGACTGACTGTTGTTACACGTGCGTCATTATGCGTCGGCTACGCGAGGACAGCGCGCACGCTCGGAAATCGGGCGCTTTCTGGCCATACCGCTCGGGAAATGATGTGCCACAAGATGTCTGTACCATATGTTCGGGTCGGGCGTGCGCCTCCAATATCAGCGCATAGTACTGGTGTGTCCTGCTGCGCCCCACGCTATGCGCAAAAGCTCCCGACCGTAACTCCTGAGAGCGGACGAGGGCCCCAGGGACGGTCGGGCGGGTGGTGATGGCGGGTGACCTGCAGGCAAGGGCCCTGAAGGGGCCCCGTGGGGGGCCCTTTGTGGAGCCAGCAGGGGCCCTCAACCCAGACATGCGACGCCCTGGTTTTTCCAGGACGGCGTCCCCGGAAATCCAGACCCTTTCCCAGGTTCTGGCTTTTCATCCTGGGTCGTTTTTTGACGGTCCCGAGGCCCGGCGAGGGCTCCCCCGAGGCCGAAATTTGCCAAACATTTCCCGAACCGGATTTTTGTACGACACGACCATGTCTGGGAAGGGGCCCTGCCCTCTATAGGGCCGGTCCCTCCCCCCCCCCGGGTAGGTCACCCGCCCAATCCCCAGGCCGGGGCGCTGGTGGCCGGGCGCCCCCACCGCAGACGCGCCCCGATGCCGAGAGGGACTCCTCCTCCTCCTCTGCTTCCTCCTCCTCCTCCGGGGGGGGGGGGCGGGGCGACCGGGGCGCAGCGCGGAGCGACCGCGCCCCGCCCCGCCCGTTTCTTCCCTTCCCCAGAGATCCAACGTAGATGGAAAAAGTCATGACGGCGTTTTTTCGCGAATTTCGGCCCCTAGGGGCTTGCTAAACCTCCAACCAAGGAGTCGCAATATCCGTCAACGCCGGAATTCGGGCTTGCCCATATTTTAATGAGCACGTCTCCGGTTTTGACGGTCCAATTGTCGCGGGATGATTGCAGCGGGAGTTCGCGCCAAATTTCAGATTGGGTCTTATTATTTCCATGATGGGTTTACCCAGAGATCCAACGTAGATTGAAAAAATCAAGACGGAGGTTTTTCACAAATTTCGTCCCCTAGGGGCCCTGGCCAGGCCTCGGGACCGTCAAAAAACCATTCATTATGAAAAACCGGTCCTGGGAATGGGTCGACCCTTCCGGGGACCCCGCATTGAAAAAATCACGACATAGGATCTCTGGGTCCTCGGCCAGATGGAAGGCCCCCGGGGTCGGCGGCGAGCGAAGGGGGGGAAGCTTCGGGTTCGAGGCTCCAGGCTCGAGGTTTTCGAGCGGTTTCGTCGGTTTCCTCGCGGTTTTCCGGCCTCGGATGCTTGCCAGCAGCTGCGCTTTGGCGAGGGCGTTCCAGTGGTGCCCGGGTTGTCCCGAACGGCCCTCGGAGACCTGAGTTATGACCCAACAACCAGATTCGGCGGCGCGCCTGGGGGGAAGTGAGAAGGACGAGGCCTTCTCAGAAGGCGGCGGGGCTTCTCAGGAAGCCTCCTGCCTTCTAAGAGGTTTTCGTGTCGTCGGGGAAGGCTTTGAAAACCTCTCAGAGGGCCCGAGGCCTTCAGAGTTTTCTAAGAAGGACCGCCCCTTCCCACTTCCCCCCCGGGCTGGCCGCCGAGTATAGGACCTTTAGCCGAAGTGACCTTTGGTGCTGGCCCTCTGGGGTCCCCGCATCGCTGAGTGCGATGCGACAGCATCGGCTTGTGCAACTGGGTTTGGCGCCGCCGCGCGCCCCCCCGAAAGCTGCGCATCAAAGGTCACGCTTGCCGATGGTCCCTCTTGCGTGCAACCGAAAGTGGACCCCTCCCTCGGGTTCCATCTGCCTGCGTTGAACCCCGCCACCGCGCCTGTGCAACTGCGCTGCAGGAAGGACACTGAGTGCAGGAACGGCGCAATTCCGACAGGTCGTATGGGCTCACAGTTCGGGTACTTCTTCACGTCGCTCCAGGGCTCCCAGCAAACCTGCACGTAGCCTCGACGCTTGAGCGCGTTGTGCTAAGCCGCTGCAGAGGAGGTGACCCAAACGGCGGCGGCGGCGGCGGCGGCTGCGGCGACTACGGCAAGAGGTGGCGGCGGCGGCGGCGGCCACGGCAGGCAGAGGGCGTACAGCGCAGGGATGTTGCTGGTGGTCCTCCGGCTGCTGCTGCAGCCCGCGCGCTTCGCGGCGCTGTGCGCCGGGCTGCTCCGCTCGCACCGGATGCAGCGAGACAGCCCCGGGGGGCGCCCAGGTCGTCCCCGACTCTGCCACGGGCCTACGACCCAATGCGAACCTTACCCCTGCGGGTCCAATCGACGCTGGGGTATCAGAGACGCTGGCTGAGGTTCGTGCGGCCGCAGACATCCTTCGAATTCTGACCCCCCGCCGGTCTTTCCGAGATCAGACCTGCAGGGGCATGTACACATGTGGGTGTCGAGCGGGGTCGTGGTGTGGCTCGAGCGGGCGGGTCGCAGCCAGCAGCTCGGGCAGGCAAGGGAGTGATCACCGGATTGGGGATCCTCTGCTCATGCCGGAGCCGTGCCGAGTCGATCACGTGCTGGCTGGTCCGAGGCGGGCAAGCGTCGTTGCGCTTGCCTGCTTCTTGTTTTTCTCCTCCTCTGGGCCCTCGCGGCCTCGTGGGGCCTAGCCAGGGGGGGGGCGCCCACGCGGTGTCGTTATGGGGCCTGGGCGGGAAGAGGGCAAGGAGGCCCGACGCCGTGGGGCCCGACGGTGATGCCTCGACAGGTCGGGGAGAAACTCGTAGTTCTCCTCGATCTGCGTTTGTGGCGTATTCTAACGCAGGTTACGTAGACGCTCCACAGCTAGTCCTTGCACAAAGAGGTTATTGCCCCCTTTCGAATGGATGCGAAGTGAACGTCGCGATGGATCGTTCTTGCCCTGGATGCCCACTGTTTGCCAATGGCTGTTGCTCTGCTGGTGCTGTGGTGCCCTCATTGATCGCGGTTGCTCGTTCTTGCGTGCTCTTGGTGCCTTCGACGGTTGTGATTGCTCGCTCATACCCCGTCGCCCACAGTATGGGTGATGCTTTTCTGGCTGGTGCCATTGGGCATTGCTCTATGGCACAGTGGAAATCCATGCCAGGAAACACACTGCTTGCCTCCAGGGTGCCCTGGGTTTCTTGGGTTTCAATGGTTTTGCCAGGGAGAACGTGACGTTCCCACACCGGAAATCAATGGACGTCCTGGGGTCTTAGGTCTTAGGGGTGGGGGGTGGGTTTCTTGTGGAAGGTTTCTCGTGGTTGCGCTCCTACTGTATGGTGCCTTCATGGTTGCGATTGCTCGTTCATGCCCCGTTGCCCAAAATATGGGTGATGCTTTTTCTGGCTGGTGCCATATTGGCGTTGCTCTATGGTATGTGGCCTCTGCTTGGGGCTCACGCTAGCCGCTATGTGAAAGCACAGTGCAGGAGGGGGGGGGGGCTGCGGAGCGGGTCGGGTGGCGGAGCACAGTCCTTGTTCGACATCGGGACCTGCCCTGGAGGCTCTGTGGCCACTTGTAGCCGTTTCTGGGGCGGTATGGGAGCGTCTTGGAAGCATATTCGGGGGAAGTGTAAGACTCGAGTACGCCAAAACTCGTGTTTGCCGACGCTTTTTGACGAGCTCGTCCTGGATTTGGGCGGTCCAGTTTTCGTGGGATGTTTGCAGCGGGAGTTCGCGTCTAATTCCAAACTGGCTCTCGTCATTTTCATGATGTCCCCGTCAGGCCAACCCGAGTCCCACGAACCCGGGTCTTGCGTCTCCCCGGATATTGGGAGATTGGAGGTCATCTTGGCCTCTCTTGGGCCACCTCGCAGGCCATCATAGCCTTTCTGGAGCCTTCTTGGGGCCATCTCGGGGGAACAGGGATCCTCTGACACCTCCCGACCCCCCCCGCTTCCTTTCCAGATTTGGGGGGGGAGGTCAGGGGAGGGGGCCAAGCTACCCCAAGCCGCAAGCCGTGCCGCTTACTCCCACCGGCCCTGCCGCTACATAATTCGCACCCGAGTCTCAGCACAGGCAGGGGCCGCCATCTTGCAAGAGAGTGGTCCTGAAGGGCCCCTCAACTGCCACCGCGGGCCCGAAAGGTGCACGAAAGGTGGACGTGTCCCTCCCCCCCCCCGTTTGTCGCCCCCCCGGCAACAAACACCCAAAGGCCCAGAGCCAAGACGCCTCAGAATCGGCATCCTTCCGCCCCTTCCGCATCCTCGCTCCTGCCCCCCCTCGCTCCTCCCCCCTCGTCCTCGTTGCCGTCGCCCCTTCCCGCCCATCGCGACTTCCCCCTCGTTCCTCCCCCCCTCCCTCCTCGTGCCCTCCCCCCCTTCCTCCTCGTGCCCTCCCCCCCCCCCCTGGGGATCCCTCCCCCGCCGCGCTCCTTCCCCTTCACGCCCTCCTCCTCCTCGCGGTCGGCCGGCCGGAGACTCCGCCCAGCGTGCCTCCCGGCTGGGGTCCGAGCGGATGGGGGGGGCGGAGGACCGCGCCGCACCGCCGCCGCATCGCCGCCGCATCGCCGACGCATCGGTGACGTCGGCGGTGCATCGGCGACGTCGGCGTGGAGAGGGTCGGGCGGCACGCGCTTTCGTGTGCCGTTCTCGAGGCCTCCCGGATGGGGTCCGAGCAGAGGGGGTCCAGGCATCGCTTCGCGTCGGCGCTGCGGCTCGATGTGGAGCCCGATGGTCTCCACGCGGGCGTTGCCGCTGCATGTCGGGTCAGGTCAGGTCAGGTGCGGCGTACGCAGAGGCGCGCCCTGTGCGGGCTGCCGCGGGCCTCCTCGCCTTCTCACATGCGCTTTCTCGCAACCGCCACCTCACGCCCTCGCAAATTAGTCAGTCAGTCCATCTCTTTAATGGCCTTCCAACAGATCGAAACCCAGGCGGCGCCCAACGTAGCGCAAGCTGCCCCCACCTGTGGTCACTGCACGACTGTAGCTTCTGGTATAAACGTTCCTTTCTCTCTGCTTGCGATTCAAGCCAAGTGGGCATTCCTCCACTGCCCTATGGGTTGCTCTCACAAGCCAGTCGACATATGGCTCGACATCCAACCTGCGTGCGCCAACAATTTTCCGAAGCATCTTTGCCATAGTCGGTTTGAGTTTTTGCTCGCGTGCTGCAGTGAGCGTCCAAGCACCACTTCCAAACAACACCGTGGAAGACACGACTGTATCGAACAGCCTCAGTCTGGATTGCAAGAGAAAATGTCGATTGCACAATTCGGATCTGAAATTTCCGAAAGCAGCCCACCCTCTCGAGATCTTGTGGTTGATCTCCACGTCGTGGTAATCACTGAACGTCAACTGACTGCCCAAGTACTTGGTGCTTCGTACTCCAGGACTTCGACTCTCCCGTCGCCAACTTCGACGTCCTTTTGTCGCAGAACTCCCTTGCGGTCTGCCACGTTTGACAAGATCTTTATGCTGCCCATGTGAAGCAGCAAGCCAGCAGTGCGCGCCTTCTCGCTCAAGTCTGCCAACATCGGTCGCACTTGCGCTCTGCTGGTTCCAATCAAGAGAACGTCTTCAGCGAACACCAGGTTGGTAAAATAACGCGACTCCATATATAGAGTTCAGTATTGTCCTTCCTCCACTTCTTCTTGAGGTCCCGCATGATTGTTTCAAGAACTGCGTTGAAGATAGCTGATGACATCGGGTCGCCTTGCTTCGTGCTCCTTTCAATCTTGAACGCCCGGCTCTCCCGATCCGACACCACCTGGCTTGTTTGTCCCGCATACAATCGTCTCAACACTTGACCGTATGCCTCAGGAACCCCTTGCTGGCGCAGAGCATGCCAGATAGCAGAATGGTTCACGGTGTCGAATGCTTTCTGGAAGTCCACGGCAGCGACCCAGAGCTTCAAGTTGTACTCTCTGGTCTTCTCGTGAATGAGCGTAAGGGTCTGTAAGTGGTTATCGCAGCCAAATCCTTTGCAAAATCCAGCTTGGTCCACAGACTGGTTGTCGTCAAGGAATTTCGCCAGCCGCCCGTTTAGCATCATGGCGAAAAGCTTCTACATTATGGGAATAATGGAAATCGGTCTGTAGTTCTCGGGAAGCGTAGGATCTCCTTTCTTGAAGATCACCTTGACGCAAGTGTGTCTCCACGAATCTGGCGGTTCATCCCCGCGGACTAGAATGTTTGTGAGCACATGTGCCAGCACTTCTTTCAGATACGGCCCGCTGTATGTGAAAGTGTTTCCATTCATTCTTTTGCCGATCGGCGCGGGCCCTCGCACCCCCCCTCCCGCCCCCGTGGAGTAGAGCAGGTGGAGTCTCCCCCATAGAACGCACGGTCCCAAGCAGTCGCACTACGCGGAGGTCCGGAGCCAGACCCCCCCTCTTCCCCCCCCCTTCCGCCCAATGTCGAAACGCCGAATAAAAAACGATCACTATCGCCGACATTGCCGGTCCATCGCCCAGTCTCTGACCCCATCTACTCCGTTCCCACCCGGGAGGCCTCTGACCCATGGCTCGCACGAGCGGGAAGGGTTAAGTCGGGCGTGTCCCTCTTCAGGAGGGATGTTCAAGAATAGTCAGAAAAAGTCAGGCGGCGATTTTTCGACCATTCTTTGATTCGGCTGGGGTATTTGTTTGATTTACGGGCGCAGCCCGTAATTTGATTTTCGGGAAGTAGGCTGACAGAACTGACAGAAACATTGAGTCACCAAAGCCGTTCGATGGCAGTTTTGTTTCCGGGGGTGAGGATGTTTCGCTGGCAGTTTTCAGTGAGGGGGTCGGGATATTTCGCTGGCAGTTTTATGCCAGGGGTTTGAGGATATTTCGCTGGCAGTTTTAAGTAGGGGTGTTGAGGATATTTCGCTAGTAGTTTTAGGCCAGGGGGATGAAGATATTTCGCTGGCAGTTGTAGGCAATGGGGGGTGAGGATCTTTCGCTGGCAGTTTTAGGCCAGGGGGGGAGGATATTTCGCTGGCGGTTTTAGGACTCGGGGTGATGATATTTCGCTGGCAGTTTTAGGCCAGGGGGTGAGGAAGTTTCGCTGGCAGCTTTCGGCCAGGGGGTATCAGGATATTTCGCGTGGCAGTTTTAGGTCAGGGGGTGAGGATTTTTCGCTGGCAGTTTTTAGTCAGGGGATTGAGGATGTTTCGCTGGCAGTTTTGGGCCAGGGGGGTGAGGATTTTTCGCTGGCAGGTTTAAGAGAGGGATGTGAGCATATTTCGCTGGCAGTTTTTGTAGGCCAGGGGGTGTATGATATTTCGCTGGCAGTTCTAGGCCAGGGGGTTGAGGATATTTCGCTGG